TTTTGAGGTCCATACTAGGATTTAGCCACCTGAAGAGTACAATTTTCGTATAACTTACTTCTAAAATAGCTACTAGTAAATCATCGTATTTACTGAAAATACAGCAATAATTGTTTTACATGTATATGATTCAATGATTAAATGAAACAAGCTCATGCCATCTTACTTCTTTACATTTGCTGAAGTCCTAGCCAAATACAATGAGAAAAGCAAGGTTAAATGAAAATGTCCAGTTATAGTCATTTAAATTTTTAAATTTACTTGTACTTTAGTTCCTATGAAAAAAAAGAGGAATGATGTTGAGCTTTTTTATAGGAATGATTTGGAAAGGTGAGGGAGGTTGGCATTTTCTGGGGGGAAAATGATGGCTGAAAAAAATTTTGAGTGGCACCCAGGAAGAGAAAATTTTCTTCACATCAAATTTTGTTTTGAGGGTTGGGGTGGGAGTTAAAGGTGCATTTTCTTGGGAAAAACAAGTGAAATAGCTTTTCCAAAACTATTTGCATCAATCGGTATTTTTTCAATATTGTTGGGCCTCATTCAGTCCAATGGATTATGGCTAATTGCAATGTGTAGAGTTTACATATTTGATATAAGAAAGCAGGGAGTATTTATATATTTTGAGATACCATGCAAAAGGAAAGTGATGATGTTGGTACTATACTAGTAGAAGTAGGTTTTTGAAAGTTTCTGAAACTACCTTCAGGTAGTGCATCAATTCTATACTTAGCATCACTGAACTTTTATCAATGTAATTTTGCATCATTAAAAGCTTGTTACAGTAAATACTTTTACAAATATGAACAATAGAAGTTTATAAATGTTCTTTTTCTCTGTCCTTGAAATAGTTAATGACAATTTCACAACAGAAAATTTTGACGTCCAAGTTGCAGCTCATATTGCTTTATTATATAAACACCTTTTTGTAATGAGAAATCTTGAAACAATAATTTATTCATGTGAAAACATATAAATTATACCCTTCTAAAAGTACACAAAGCCTTTTCAACCCAGTAAATATACATTGGAAATATAATTTTCTCCAAATTTAGGTTAATCTTTTAGAAAAAAATATCAACACAAAAATTTGTTATTGTTTTGTGATTTTTTATTGAATGAAAATTTCAGCTGGAGTATTTTTTTCAATTTATTTATTTACAGTTTAAAGTCTTTGATGGAAGAATTTGATGGAGAATTTGACCTGTCTAGCTGAACACGATCTGTTGAACCAGCCATTTTATTTGACTTAGGCCTATAATAGGCTGAGTTTTCAGACCTTTCCTTACAATCTGTGATACAATGTTTTAATAGAATGAATGATGATTTTTTTTTTCAATCTGTGCAGAATTATATTTTATACACATTGAGGGACCAATATATTTACATTTTGTTTCAATTATTTTTATGATTTAATCAGTATATTACATATATGTACACATGTATGTGGAATCAATTTTTACAATTTTTATTCCATGCTCCCCCTGTCTGACTGTTGTTGTGTGGACAGGAGGGAAATCTTTAGGGATGACATAACAGAAGTGCAGAACCATGATAAACTGATCAGCAATTTTTATACCCACTCCACAAAGGAGGGGGGATACTGTTTTACACTTGTGTTTTTGTCTGTCTGTCCAAATAACAAATCTTTGTTGCATTTTTCTCAGCAATTACTAACTGCAAATTCAAGTTTTAGCACAGTCTTTATTTAGGCATGCCATATGATGGGATTCATTTTTGTACAACTTTGATGTCAACTTCCTGTTTATCCCTCCATATGTGTCTTTCTGTAACTGTACTAGTGTATACACATCAGAGTGTAGGTTTTATTACTGAGCATTGGCCCAGAGTACATTTACTGTTCTGTAGCTTTTGTACATTTATATCATTATTTAATTCCCAGATGAAAATATTAAACCCCCAAAAAATTAACATAATGTGGAAAAAATCCGATTTTCTTTTTAATATTTTTATAGTGGGTCTAAATGATGTGATGGAACTCTGTTTTACAAGTGCGGCTTGCATAAAACTTTATGAATGATAAAATGTAATCCTAATGACTACCACTGTGGACTTTGTTTTACAAGTAAAGTTTGTTATGTATATATTAAAATAAAATCAGACAATGTGACATTCCATAGTAGGGTTGTCAATTTTTAGTAACTGCATGGTTACTTGCCTGGCCTTTCAGGTCAAGTTCTCAGTCTATATTTTTATAAAACTCAACATTTTAACCTATGATCCACATCTATCTTACCAGTCAGGTTCTTGTTCTTGTGAATGATTTGTAATTTTAGGACCTTTTTTTGGCATATAACATTGAATATAATAATCTAGCACTAATGTAAATTACTATTAATAGATAAGTGTGGTTGATTTCAGTTTGGGGGGAGGGGCACAGCCAAACATTTTCAGTTTTCAAGTACCAAAAATTGCTCAACAAGCAACAACAAAAAAGTCATCAAACATTTTATTGAGGGGACACAAGCACACATTAAATGTGTTTTCTATAGTACTCTATACATCGTCAAAATTATTGGCTCCCCCCACCACAGGTTCCTACGGCCATGCAACCTTAAAAGATGTAAGCACTTGTGCTACTTACGTATTAGTAAAAGAGACAATGCTATTATATAGTAAAACTTGTTTAGTACGAACACGGATATTGCGAATTCATGGATATAGTGAAGTTATCTTGGATCCCCAGCTATAGATACAAATTTAATGAGTACCTTATACGGATAAAACGAATTATGGATATAGCGAAGTAATTTCATAGGTCCCAGTGACTTCGTTATAACCGAAATGACATCTAAATCTCAAAAGGGAAAATAAAGTTCTTCCTCTATAAAAAAAAAAATATGTTTCTGAAACATTTATTTTGTGTAGTGAATGTTCTTCAGAAGAGGACAGTTCGATGCAATCTATTTTTTTTTCAAAATAAAAAATAAAATTAATCCTATTTCTTATAACAGAATATATTAGATTTTTTTATGAATTAATGGAAGTGGGTCCGTAGGATTGTTTGATGCAACTAAAAGTTAATTTCCTTTTGCCTGACTGATTGTATAGAAGATAAAAATTTAACTAAAGTCGTTCATATTGCTTATTGTGAGCACAAAAAGAAGGGAATACTGTCTTATAAAATATACATTGTAGACTAGTGTATACAAAAAAGTTAAGGATTATCAAATTAAACATACTAGTATTTAATTTTGTCGATTTTCCGGAAGTGCACGTGTTCACTTGGACAAGCTGAAATGCGTTGCTGAAGAATCTCTCATGCATGGTTAATTGGGTTCAGATCTGGAGAACGACTTTGCAAGTCCATGCACTGATTTTCACTTTTCAGGTCCTCATTTCGATTCGGGCTCTATGAGTTTATAAAGATCCAATCCTCCTGTCCTTTCTGACATAATTTATTTTATCAAATAAACTCTGCAATATGAGTAGTTTATTTGATAAAATAAATTATGTCAGAAAGGACACTCCCCGACAGTACCAATTAATCTAACAAAAGGATGAAGAATATCAAACCGGTATTTTAAAGCTGCCAGGGTGCAGATCAGTTTTGATATAACATTTAATGCCTGTCCAAATCATCACCGAACCTCCAACAAATCGGTAATGCACAGTAATACAACAATCGGCACATCTTCCCCCCTTTGCTCTCCAAACAAGTCTTCCGTTATCATGGAAGTAAACAAAATCACGACTCGTCTGCGAATAGTCTAAAATATCTGACATTTTCCAGTTTTTTTTTTACGATTTTGCTATTTTACCGTACGGTAAAATATCAAAATCGTAAAAACCCTGGAAAACGTCAGATATTTCAGACTATTCTGGGAATAGAACATTGACCACCAATGACGCTGAATATTGCCAATTTCTGTGTTCTTTTGCCCATGCACTGTAGTCGATTGCTGCGATGCATGCATTGAGATTTGCTTCACTGATGAAGTTTGTTTCTAACTGTCTGGGTAGAAATCTGTCTACCCATTGCTCTTTGAATCTCATTACTAAGCTTGACAGCACTTAGGAAGCGTTTTTCATTGTTACAAAATTAGTACAAATACAAGTTACGATTCGCATTGAATGTCGTACACCTCGGACCTCCCGATTGTGGCCGTCTCTGACAATTTCCTGTCTTTAATTATCGGTTCCAGATAGGGCTGGGACGATATATCGAGATATCGATAATATCGATTCTGTGTGATGACGATACGCATATCGATACATATGAAGAAATATCGAAATATCGCCAAAAAATTCTTGACTTCTGTTTTCCTTTGTTTATTCAACATATAAAATTAATAACCTAGCTACATATAAATATAGATATGAAATAAATAATAATTAACACCACTTGAGTAAAATATAATCGTTTTACAACATATAAATAACTATATTGAATAAATTATTCTTATTTGCAAAGAAATATTTTGTTTATTTCAATGCAAAAAAAAAAAAAAAATTATAACCAATTAAACATATCGTGATACACGATATCGTATCGTGGCTCAAACATCGTGAAACATATCGATATAGAAAAAGTTGTATCGTACCATCCCTAATTCCAAATGCGGCAAATTACGCTTTGGGAAACATATTTAGTCTTTCTGCAACGTGACTTTGCATTTTGCAGGCTTCCAGCACCTTGCTGCCTATTCTCTATCCACGGACAAAAGCTTGTCCACTTCTCTAAGTAGAATACGCTACTGCCATGGACAAAATTTAATCATTTGCCAGTGATTTTACAAAATGTTGTTTTCAATGAAATATAGTTAAGTACTATATTTTTTCAGTCTTCGTGGCCATTTGGAAAATGCTGGAAAATAAACCATTTAGAGCCATATTAAGAAAAAATTCTTGGGGGTAAGAACCCCCATAATGATATCTCCCCCTTTCGACCCTATATTGGTTGTAATTAACACCCCCCCATGACTCAGAATTTTGTCGACATGGTCGGGATCAAGCTTCAACTCCTATTTTTAGCTATTTCCGTTCTGCCTCGTTTTGACATCCTGTTATAGAGGTTGTAAACACAAAGTATTTATTGCAGGACAGGTATGTATATTGACTGTATTTGATCAAATTCCTTAGTTTAAATGATATTCTGAAACTAGGCTCTACCATAGCTACATTGAACATACACAGAAAATATAGAGAATTTGATTAATTACGTTAAATGTTCCGAAAGTTGTATGGTTACACGTAAAATATATTATGGTGCCCTTATTATTAATATTTTAGTTAATTAGGTTCTCTTTATTCATAAAATGGCCCTGTACATATACCAATTAACTAATATCTCATTTCAAAGTGACATCACAGTGATCACTATAAAGTAATGCTTCCATTTCCTGATTCTGAGAGTCCAGGTGAGGAGCTTACTGTTTAGTTTGTCTCAATACATAATACCCATCTATGTTTGCATAGATTAGTGATCTAATGATTTATATAGCATAAGTATTGTACACAGGCACTTGTTTTGGAAATAAATTTTTAACTTATAGTAATATGTTTTACGGCGTGACCATCAGGGCGAGCGCAGTTGTACCATAAAAAACACTTGAAAAATTGATCAGCCACTTCAAACATCAAGCCACACAAGACATCTCGACTAGCTGTGACGGAGCTTGTCAGAGGTTACGGAGACAGCCGAGCGTCTGGTTGAAACTATAGATTTATTACAATTTTGGTCAAAAAACATTGCAGAGTTATTTTTTGTTTCTTTGAAAGATTTCTACAAAATGAAAGCCTTTTATGCTTTACGTTATTATTTATTTATTTATTCGCGCAAAGGACATTGGGTAGTAAAGGAATTCTGGGAATGTTTCACGGAGAAATTTGCCTGACGTATGTACAGATTTCATTCCAAATTTCCTCTGTTCTTACACGTTAGTCTATTGAGCTCACTTTGCGAGCATTGCTTCACTGCGCTCACTATAATTAACACAAGGTACATGTATCTAACTTTGAGTTACATCATCAGGAGTACCCCTCTCCCCAAGTATATTGCACTCATTTACACTTTAAAAGGAAATACACTGACAAACTTTTTATACCTATGTCTTCTATGATAATTTATCTACACAACCATATATGACATGCTTTAGTCTCCATAAGCATGCATCGTCAAATTCCACTCGTCAAGTAGGCCTAGTCAAGTTTATTTCAACCATGAAGTGGTATGTGCTTATCCCGCACAGAGAACAAAATGAAGAAATGCATGAGTGGGTTTAACAATTCAGTTCAAATGTTTAAATATTGTAGTGTGTAAATAGAACTTGTTTATGTCAGATTTTCCCTGAAAACAATACTATGTTTATCCAATGTAATTTTAGAAACAGCTTTTTAGCCAACCAGAATCTCTATGTGGGATTAGCACATACATTTCAGGTTGAAATCGACTTTTCCACCTCAAGGAGTATATGACATACCGGTATTCTTACCAAAATTTTTCACTTTTGCCATAGGCAGGGCATTGCATGCACCTGAGAAGATGATACTTTTATATTTTTCATTTGCAATATTAGTAACAAGACCATCCAAATGTACTATGATTTTTGACACTTTGACCGTAAAGTTTCAAATGTCTTTTTAAGTTTGCATCAAAAGAGACAACACTTTCTTATTTTTTCATGTGCAGTGCTATTACTTGTGATCTTTTTTAATGCACGATATGATATTTCCTTGACGAAAAAATTCAATAAACAATTCAATTTTTTCTTCAGAACCTATGTAAAACAAATTATTAATCTCCTATCCGTGAAACCAGATTGGACTATAGGTTTTCTCTGAGTCCGTCTGTCTGTCTAGCTGTCTGTCAGTAAGGGTGAAACGTTTACTGAATTTTGTAAACGTTTAATCGAGCAGCAGTAAACGAAACGGTACCGTTTAAACGGGAGATTTTTATGTGTTGAATTTTTTTGGCTACTTACTCATGAAACACTAATTTAATAAACCATTCTTTCACTATAATGTAAGTATGAGTTGTCATTACTGTTTATTTGTTGGTTTTTATGATGAGAGAGTAGGAAGTGTCAAAGACTGAAATATATAAAATAATATATAAAAATATAATACGATAACATTGAGGGTTTCGGTTTACATTCAATTTTTCAAAGCTCTTTATTCAACATTATACCATTATAAGAATGAAACTTTTTATTTTCTTATCAATAAAAAGCAACAACAAAGCGTACTTATTTTAGAACATATACTTAGAAAAATAAAATAATACATCGCTTGTTTTCACTACTTGGAAATCGGAATTAAATATGCTAGACCATATTGGTTTCTAGATAGTTTTGTTTAATATTACTTTTCGGGTATCGATTATAACAGAAAAAAAATGTTTGTAACAGACACAGATGTGTTTTCTTTAGTAAATATGTAAATATGAAATAAAACAACTTGTTTGGATGAAAGTTTTTTTTCCTGATAGACATTGATATTAACCTTCGTGTAAACATTTACTCAATTTGTAAACGTTTAGAGCATTTAATCGAAACGTCGCTGTTTACACGTGTAATTGTTTCACCCTTATCTGTCAGTCTGTCCCACTTGGGCTTCCACCTTTTTTTTTTGAAACACTTGCAAGTATTGAGCTGATATTTGGTATGTGATTGTATCTTGATGAATTACAGATCAAGATTGCATTTAAGGTTCCTGTCATTGATTTTGACAGAAAAAATGCATTTTAAATTTTTTTTATAATTCAGTAGCCATTTCCACAAAAAATCTTACAACATATTTTTATCTTAAGTGAAAACTAAACGATAAATGTCGTTTTCACAAAAATTCTTTAAAAAGTCCTAAGTGCAAAATACGTAATGTTTACCCTCTCTTAAGTATTTTCAAACCGATTTTAATGTTAAAATATAACCACAAAAATCAAATTACACGATAAATAGATGTTTTAAAAGAAACTTCCAATAATATTTTTATTTTTTTCACACTCATTTTGCACTACAAAAAATTTACGATATAAGTTTCACTTAAGATTTTTGTAAGACCTACTTTTACGTCATACTTGTGATTGTGACATCAAATTTCAAACTTCTTGCTAAATAATCGATTGCACTATAGTAATTTGTTGTCAATAACGTTTGTTTTGCTGATAAATGATGAAAACCGAGCTAAATTTGCATTTTCATCTAATAATCTAAGGATTATAAAGCATATTCAGATTGTTGCTAAGGACTTAAGTTTATCGTAAGTAAAGTCTTATGTTCAGTCTGCTACGAATGAGTTCGTGAAAAGCACTTAAGATTTGTCGTAAGAGATTCGTAAGTTAAAATCTTAGGCAAAAACTTAAGATTTTTTGTGAAAAGGGCTACAGATTATAATCATATTCATGATGCAATAAATTAATGCTCCAAACGAGCTTGTCTACTACAGAGAAAAGGGGATCTTGGTAGGGGACATGTATTGCTTATGCAGTACTCTTAGAATGCTTGTTTTTCTAGTTTGACAGATTAACAAGATGTTAACAATTATCATGATTATATATACATAGATCTGATATTTCACCTTATTAATAACCAATAAGACCCTAAAATGTTAAAAGTTTGGGACAACAATTTTCATAATTTGCATGGTAATTAAAACACTTCTGTCCTCAGTTGTGTTTGTTTGAAGTTAAGATCACTGAAGCAATGCTGTTTTAATAACTGTTAATTCAGTGAAGTAACATTTCATTGTCTAAGAATGAATATTTCATTTTGGTCAAAAAACACATTTTTAATTGGTTGAAATATTTTTATATTCTTATATATTTCATTATTTAATTTTTAACAACATTTCTGAATTTAGTATGTAAATGATATTGTAAGAAATTGTTCATTTTAATTATTAAGAAATTATCTTGAGATTTATAATTACATTTGTAATATATGTACAATACCGGTAATTAGTTTCACATACATCTTATTCCCATATTAATTCCTATGGGGAATAGGGAGTGGATAGTCGAATTTGTTCTAGAATACAGTTCTAATTACAAGGATATAGGATTAATGTAGCTGACTGCCTATCACCAGAAAAGTGAGAGTCTTCCTGACCAGTTTTAGAGCCTTAACATAAAATTAAGACTATATATTATGGAGAATATATTGATTTTCTTCTTAAAATTCTATGTAAACATATGATATATAATTCCGGTGATGGAAACAAATAGGCTAAGCCTTCACAAGGGACACATTTTGTCATAAATAATGTATTCATATTGTGAAAACTCTTATCTAGATTTATAAAACTCCAAATGAAATTTTTTTAACAATTCTTTGGAACTTTGAAAATGAAAAGAAAGTGAGTTGAAGCTTGCAGCTCTTAATAAATCCTTTGTAAAATGTTTTTGGTCATTTACTCAGCTTTTTATTATACAACAAATACAATGTACACTCGTCTGAAATTAACTCACAAAATGATCCAGGGCTATCGATTCTCTAAATCTCATTTTGGCAAAAAACACATTTTTAATTGGTTGAAATATTTTTAATGCAAAAAAGGTAATTTTTCCTTTTTTCCCAAAAGAAAGGTGTAAATTTCCCAATTTCCATAGCAAAATATTAATTAAAGAATAAAAGTCCATGAAACTTAATCGGAAAAAAACCCCAAACAAAACACACTTGCAAATGAAAGTGAAACTGTACTTCTGTTTTATTAGTTCGCGCCAAATGTATTTAAATTACATTGTTTTTACAAAAATGTATACTAACTATGAGTGCAGAGTATATTGTCATGCAGTTTCGACAAAAAACGTCATTTTGGTTTTAAAAAAAGACATTTCATTTAAACATTGCAATATAAGCAATGAAATCTTGGATCAATACCCAGCCCTATTAGTTTCACATACATCTTATTCCCATATTAATTCCTATGCGGAATAGGGAGTGGATAGTCGAATTTGTAGCTGACTGCCTATCACCAGAAAAGTGAGAGTCCTCCTGACCAGTTTTGGAGCCTTAACATAAAATTAAGACTATATATTATGGAGAATATATTGATTTTCTTCTTAAAATTCTATGTAAACATATGATATACAATCTAATTCCGGTGATGGAAACAAATCCAGGCAAGCCTTCACAAGGGACACATGGGTCATAAATAATGTATTCAGATTGTGATAAACTCTTATCTAGATTTATAAAACTCCAAATGAAATTTTTTAACAATTCTTAGGAACTTTGAAAATGAAAAGAAAGTGAGTTGAAGCTTGCAGCTCTCAATAAATCATTTGTAAAATGTTTTGGTCATTTACTCAGCTTTTTATTATACAACGAATACAATGTACACTGAAATTAACTCACAAAATGATCTAAAAAGAACCTGAAACCTGAGAGCCTCTAGAGGCCTTGCCCACTAGGACCCCTAGGGACTTTGTCTTGGACTATTACTTCCTGTTCTACTCCCCTTTTAAGAAATCCTGGATCTGTCCCTGTGTATTTATTGCTACAATGTATTTTAAAACCCCTCCCCCAAACTGTCTAAATCTCTCTGGATCTGACTATCTGGGCACTGAATATTGTGGATTTATAGTTGACTTGCATTTAAAAAGTGTCTTGGCAAACTGAAATCGATAGAGCATTATCCTTTGTGGTGTAAATCATGGGTTGCTCTTTGAACACTCTGAAAGTGTTTGTGATGGTTAGAAACTTGACAGCTAGACTGACTGACAGTTTTTCAGAGTGTTTGTGTTTCTGACACTAGTAGATCCCCCAAGGAGTATGTAGTGATGTTAGCTATTAAAGTATCACATAAATAAATACAATACTGGGATATATTGCTAAGTATAGACAAATGCTAAAAGCATTGTGGAAACTGAAGGCTGGTATGAGATGATTTCAGAAATGAAGATGAACCTTGTTTTATATAAGATTAGGTCATCTTTAATTTTTGTTTGAATGCCCTCCCAGATTCAGAAAAATTGAGATGGTAGGTAGGTTGGAAAATAAATTTCACCATTTAAAATGGGTTTTCAAAATTAAAATTGGCAAAAGTCAGAAATATTTGCTGATGGGATGAGTAATTCCAGTTAGAAAATTAAAAAAGAAGTACCAGTAATTGTCTCCGAGGATCTAAGTGGGGTCATATTTTACCCACCAGTAAGGCACTGGCAAACAAAAAAATGGCCTTATTAAGTATAGGGAAAGAGAAAAAACTATTTTGTATTCCATTTCTGTTACAAATTATTTTTTTTTATTTTAACAAAAATGTCCATCTTATGCCTGTTGGTGTCTGCAGTACATTGATATATCAATATATGTCAGGGAGGCAGACTAATACACTGTTGACCAGCAATCATTGATTCCATTATAGGTGTTAGGTGGCCTTCCTCTGAGACAGAGATGCAGATAACATCGAGTCAGTAGACCGTCATGGCAGACTCAGGTAAGTCGCTTCTAGTGGACCACTTCTTAATAATGTAACATTTATAATTAGTTATGGAGTATCTAAATCGTCTAAAAACACTGATCCCTGCTTGTATGTACCTATACATTTACGTTTATCTATAATAAGGTAGACTCTTAAAGGTTGCTAAATGAGCAAAGAAAGTGAGTTAATCATATTGTACAATTTCCTTGAGATATTGTTTAGAGATGATATTCTTGTTTATGACAGCTAGGAGGTGACTGATCTTCTTGTATGCTGACTGTTCGTTTTATGTAAGAAAAGTAATAGAATTGTTGCTTTATTAGTCTGAAGTCATATCAAAGCTTGCTATGTTCATAAAAAGGAAGTCATAACAGCCAAGAAGTAACAAATTAATAGACATGAATAGAAAACTTATATACAGTGCTAATATAACACATGATTGTTATAATGGAGGGTCTAGCAGCTAAGTATTGAATAACTGACTGTGACAAATATCCAAAGAAAAAAGAATCTAAATACATAATTTGCACAAAAAAGAAGTCCCAAGATGCAAGTTCGATTGCATGTTCTTCTAAAGTATACCAGTGAAAATCATGTTTAAACAATGTAGTCTTAGGACAGTTTGGAGTGAGTCACCATGCAAGCCCTTGCAAATATTTAATACAACAGTTTTCTATTGGTGTAATAGAAATTAATTCATAGTTCTAAGTATAACTTCTCAGTATAACGATGTAAAAAAAAAAAAAAAAAAAAAAGCACACATTGAATTGGCATGGTTTTGCCTACATTGAGTTAGTGGGAGACTTTTTTGAATTGAAGAGCTATTCTTAAGCTTAACAGAGGTAGATTTCTATACAGGTCAAATGATCTCTGGAAGTATGTTCACAGGGTCCTGATGGTTTCTGTTTTATAGAGTACTCTATAATGCCTAGGTAATGGTTACCTGAAAAATATCACCAGCACCCTCAGTTTTTACCACTCTGAACTACAAAGATACAACATCATATCAAACTAATGAGTTCTCATCTTGGGGAAAGTGTCATTAAGTTTACATTTTTATATTATTTTAAACTACATTGTAGCACCCGATAATGATAAAACACTGCTGTACTAATACTGAAATATCATGAAGCATTGCAATTGCAATGCTTATAATGCAAGTATAAATTATTGCATTAATAGTTGACATTCTCAACTGCTAATGCCTAATGAAACAATTATATCATTAAGGGGTTGAGAATGTCAACTAATAATGCAATAATTTATGATATGAGGGTTGATCCAAAAGTAATGTCACTGTGTCAATATCTTTAATATTTGGCGTCATATTATCAAATATGATATACCAAAAGATTCATTAAAATAAATCTAATCAAAATTGAAAATTTCATTCAATAATGTTTGAATTCATAGAATCCATTTTATAGACGTTTAAAACATTAAACATCAGGGGTGTCGCTGTGTCACAACTAAACATCACGTTTCAAAGTGTAAATTGTTGGAATGAAAAAAAAGACAAACATTAAAAAGCATCTAAAAAAGCATCTAATCGCCCAATAATTTAAAATGCAAAATTCTACTACATTTTCTAGTCTCAAGTTGAAAATAAAATGGCGTCATTGCTTTTTGATCATAAACATTGTTAAATCAGCTATATTGAACATAAAGGAAATGTCGAAATGGAGAAAAACTGCTGGAACGAGCGGTAATGCGTTTTTGCTTCAAAATAGGGAAATCACTTGTAGAAACAGTTACGATGATTAATCAGACACACAGAGGAGAGAATGTAAATAAAAGATTTGTTTATAGATGAATTCAGTGATTTTTAGCGGGTCATGGATCACTGAATGATCAGCAGAGGACATGCAGAAACACCGAAAAAGGGAGATCGGGTGGAAACGTTCAATGTGTCTGACGTTATCCAAAAAGAGAGACGATTAGACAGAGCGATATGAGAAACTTTAAGTTTGTCTTATGGTACTGTTCAAATCAACGAATTTTGACAGTGGACTAAATTATGTATATAGAGTGAGTGTACAATGGGTGCCAATAATTCTTTCAGAAAGAGAAATGTATGTGTTTGTGAATCTCAAATATATTTAATGAAACGAAGCATTCAAGTGTATGACGGCTAATATCAGTCATATGACGTTATTTAGGTGCGGCGACTACCATAATTGCACTTTGTGTATAATTCGATATTTTGAAAAGTATAAATCATTTTAGTTTGAATTTTTCAGGACTAGTTTGTAATAAATATTGCTTTTATCCTGTATAATTTCGTTGATTTATGTCGACAAGTAGCAAATTTAGAGAAGTTATGACATTACTTTTGGATCAACCCTCGTATAAGTGTTGCATTGCAATGCTAAATGATATTTCTGTTACTAAGCAGAGTTTTATCATTAGTGGTGGCTAAACTGTATGCGGAATTTGTATTCGTTATTGTAAAATCCACATGACTTTACAGTAGTTTTAAATTTTAGAGAGTTTTAAAGGTACTTGGACACAGATTTGAAGTTAATATTTTCTCATTTTTTCTGTATAATATCACGAATTATATATTTTAAAAGCATTTCACACAAAAATTAATTAAAAATCTTATTTTATTTAAAAGTTATCAAAATTTTAAATTTTTTGGCGGGTTTGATTGACACATCCTTGCACTTTCACATATTTTAATTTTATTCTTAATCATTAGGAAAAGTGGCAATTTTGATGTGTTTTAATGAGAAATATTAAAACTTTTATCAAGAAAAATAATTTTATTCAGAGTAGAAATGTTAGAAAGCAAAACACCTTCAGAAGTATCGTCATTCTGAACTAAGAGATGCGTACAGAGTTTAGCAAATCGAGCACACTCGTGTTATGTACACAGTTTTTGTAAACAGGGCTCGAGTTCTGTTATTAATTCACCGGGTGCGTTCAATCGTCACAGTCTGCTTACCACAACTGCACGGACTGACAATATATTGTGTGTTTGTTTTGCTTTCGAACGTGTCTAGTCTGAATTTTCTGGATTATAGTATTAATATTTTTCATTTATACAAAATGAGATTGCCACTTGTCCTAAGGATTAAGAATAAAATTAAATTTGTGAGAGTGCAAGGATATGTCAATCAAACACGCCGGAAAATTTAAAATTTCAATATCTTTTTAATGAAATAAGATTTTTAATTAATTTTTGTGTGAAATGCTATTAAAATATATAAGTCGTAATATTATAGAGAAAATAATAACTTCAAATCTGTGTCCAAGTACCTTTAAAGATATTGTATTCTAAAATACATGTTTTTTAAACAGTCTGTTTTACTCTAAATTCTTTGCTTTGAAATTAAACATACTTTTTGTATGTTTACATTAATTGGCATATTAAAAATCTAGCGCAATCAGGGGGGTTGGGAGTTTCTGGCGTATTCATTAAATTGCGCTACTAACACAGCAACAATGCTTATATTGTATTTTTAAATAATTTCTCAGCAGTATTCTTAAATAAGCGCATCTTTTCCTAGTGAAAGTTGCTAATATAAGAATTAAGTACACATGAAGTATTTGATAAGCTAAAATAAATCTTTGACTAATTTAGATATGCAACACTTGAACAAATTATACTGTATTAAGTAAACCAGCTTTTTTTTGCATGCGAGAAATATATCCGCAAGTTTTGTGACATACTTTAATTTGTAAATATTCATCACTATGAATCATTTATTTTGCTTTATATAAGTAGAAAATGTTTCTTCTATTGTGAAAATTAATTTTAGTGGATTGATTTGCGTTTAGCTCTGTTCAAAGCTAAGTTTCAAAGAAACTATCCAAGATATTTTCATCAAACGTCATATACTGATAGATACTGATGAGAGCTATGCAACTGCATCAACATTTTTTTACCTTGACCTTTCCTTTGACCTTGACCTCACTTTTCTTAAATTAGTGTTTAGCTCAGTTTTAAACATACCATTCAAGATGGTGTTATCAAACTTCACATGTGGATACAAACTTGCACGGATGATGCATCTAAGGATGAACACTACCAGACTGGCTTCGGATGCTGGATCTGACCTACATTTTCCAGATGAGTGACCAGGTTAAAGTTTTTGGAGCAGGTCCATTCCTAAGGATGTTTATAAGCCCAACTTGGACCAAACGTGCATGGATGATGCATCTAAGGATGGACACTACCAGACTTGCTTCGGATGCTGGATCTGACCTACATTTTCCAGATGAGTGACCAGGTTAAAGTTTTTGGAGCAGGTCCATTCCTAAGGAACTATAAGCCCAACTTGGACCAAACGTGCATGGATGATGCATCTAAGGATGGACACTACCAGACTTGCTTCGGATGCTGGATCTGACCTACATTTTCATTCCCAAGTAACTATAAGCCCTACCTGAACCAAAATTGCATGGATGATGCATCTAGGGATGGACACTACCAGACTTGCTTCGGATGCTGGATCTGACCTATATTTTCATTCCCAAGTAACTATTAGGCCTACCTGAACCAAACTTGCATGGATGATGCATCTTGGGATGGACACTACCAGACTTGCTTCGGATGCTGGATCTGACCTATATTTTCATTCCCAAGTAACTATAAGCCCTACCTGAACCAAACTTGCATGGATGATGTAGCTAGGGATGAACACTACCAGACTTGCTTCGGATGCTGGATCTGACCTATATTTTCATTCCCAAGTAACTATAAGCCCTTCCTGAACCAAACTTTCATGGATGATGCATCTAGGGATGGACACTACCAGACTTGCATCGGATGCTGGATCTGACCTATATTTTCATTCCCAAGTAACTATAAGTCCTACCTGAACCAAACTTGCATGGATGATGCATCTAGGGATGGACACTACCAGACTTGCTTCGGATGCTGGATCTGACCTATATTTTCATTCCCAAGTAACTATAAGCCCTACCTGAACCAATCTTGTATGGATGATGCATCTTGGGATGGACACTACCAGACTTGCATCGGATGCTGGATCTGACCTATATTTTTCATTCCCAAGTAACTATAAGCCCTGCCTGAACCAAACTTTCATGGATGATGCATCTAGGGATGCACACTACCAGACTTGCTTCGGATGCTGGATCTGACCTATATTTTCATTCCCAAGTAACTATAAGCCCTACCTGAACCAAACTTTCATGGATGATGCAGCTAGGGATGGACACTACCAGACTTTAATTGCTTGGGTTGCTGGATCTGACCTACATTTTTAGCTCACCTCAACGAAGCTGGGGGAGCTTATGTAATACCCTCGGCGTCGGTGTCGGCGTCGGCGTCCAGGGTTAAGGTTAAGTTTTTTGGAGCAGTTTTCTTTTTAAGTACTTCTGTGTCCTATATTGAATAGACATGCATGGAAGATGTTTCTAATGTGTTTCATTGTACCAGTCAAAGTTTCAGAAGCTGCAATTTCAGCAAAGGAATGACCAGGTTAATGTTTATGGAGCAGGTTAACATTTTTGGTGCAGTTTTGGGTGTAGGTCTCATTTTTGAGTAACTATAAGCCCTATGTTGACCAAACTTGCACAGATGATACATCTAAGGATATACACTACCAAGGTTGCATTCTACCAGGCTTGCTTCGGATGCTGAATCTGACTTACATTTTTTTGGATGAGTGAAGAGGTTAAATTTTCATGCAAGTTTCATTTCTTAGTAACTATTAGCCCTATGTTGTTCAAACTTGCATGGATGAGACATCTTAGGATGCACACTAATGGATTTGCTCTAGATGCTGAATTCAACATACATCTTCCCAGATAATGTACCAGGTAAAAGTTGTGGGTGCAGTTCTATTACCAAGAAACTATAAGGCTTATATAAACCAAACTTGCCCAAATGATGCATCAAGGGATGATAACTCTCAAACTTGCTACAGATGCTGGATTTTAATAACATTTTTGTGACAAAGAACTAGTTTGAAGTTTTTATATAGGTCTATTCCAAAGTATCAGATCAAAATTGCATTAATTTTGAATGTACACTTTTTGTTGGGTTATTGTGTGACTTTGCCTTACTTAAAGACAACATTCGTTGAGGTGAGCTCTGTAATCTCTGATTACCTATGTTTATTGCTTCGGATGCTGAATCTGACCTACATTTTCCGGTTGAGTGAACAGGTTAATGTTTTTGGTGCAGGTTTCATTTCCAAGATACTATGAGCCCTATAATGACCAAACTTGCATGGATGGTACATCTTAGGATGCATACTACTAGATGTGCTTCGGATGCTGAATGAGACTTACATTTTCCGGTTGAGTGAACAAGTCAGTGTTTTTGGTGCAGGTTTCATCTCCAAGTAACTATAAGCCCTATGTTGACCAAACTTGCATGGATGATACATCTAAGGATGCGTATTACCAGGCCTGCTTTGGATGCTGAATGTGACCTACATTTTCCAGTTGAGTGATTAGGTTAAAGTTTTTGGTGCAGGTTTCATTATCCAGAGATACTATGAGCCCTATAATGACCAAACTTGCATGGACGATACATCTAAGGTTGCATTCTACCAGGCTTGCTTCGGATGCTGAATCTGACTTACATTTTTTTGGATGAGTGATAAGAGGTTAAATTTTTATGCAAGTTTCATTTCTTAGTAACTATTAGCCCTATGTTGTTCAAACTTGCATGGATGATACATCTTAGGATGCACACTAATGGATTTGCTCTAGATGCTGAATTCAACATACATCTTTCAGATAATGTACCAGGTAAAAGTTGTGGGTGCAGTTCTATTACCAAGAAACTATAAGGCTTATATAAACCAAACTTGCCCAAATGATGCATCAAGGGATGATAACTCTCAAACTTGCTACAGATGCTGGATTTTAATAACATTTTTGTGACAAAGAACTAGTTTGAAGTTTTTATATAGGTCTATTCCAAAGTATCAGATCAAAATTGCATAAATTTTGAATGTACACTTTTTGTTGGGTTTTGGTTTCAGGGATTGTGTGACTTTGCCTTACTTAAAGACAACATTCGTTGAGGTGAGCTCTGTAATCTCTGATTACCTATGTTTATTCCCTAGTAACTATAAGCCCTACCTGAACCAAACTGATCAAATTTTATACAATTTTCATGTTGTTTTACTAATATATCCTTGGCGGGGCATTCATGTCCTATGGACATATTTCTAGTTTAAAATATTTTTTTTTATGTCATATTTTAACTTCAAAATATCTTATGAAAAAAAAATTAATTCAGAGAACCACTAAAAGATTGTCTAACTTTCAAGTTTAGATAATCCATCGAAATTATGCTATATATGATTCATTTTTCCACCAAGAAATTAGAGAATATACAAGAACAAATTTTGTAGGTAACATTCCCTCTCAGAAGGTCATTCAAAAAATCTTAAATTTTCTGGAATGTACAAGTTACTGATGTTTCATTTACACTTTATTCAAATTATTGTGGACTACCAATATGATTCTAGAATAGATGACTGTTAACTGAACAGGGGGCCCTTATTTCTGAACATTTGAAAATGACTTGGGGGAGGCTTATAGAGGCAAGGGCAGTTAATTAAGGAATCACTGTCTAGTTCTTATAGTATGCCAGGGCATCAACGATAGTGGGAAACATGGGATAATTTGCATAATGGGCAAAGCCCATTATGCATAAATTATCCCATGGGATAATTTGCATAATGGGCAAAGCCAATTGTGCATAAATTATCCCATGTTTCCCACTATTGTTGATGTCCCTGGCATACTATACAAACTAGACAGTGATTCCTTATATTTCCGTTTCACTGTGAAATAAAATTGTAGATTTATATTCTAAAAATGTAGACATAGATTTAAATCACATGAAGACTCCCTTGCCAATTTCCATAGCCCTCTTCCACTGATGCCAAAACACAAAAGCAGCCGCACGAGATTTTGATGCATATTTGGCATCCTTAGCGTCAGACACAGAGACAGATGCGCACGAGATTTGCATGCATGTTAGGCCTCCCTCGCTCCTGACCTTTCGACTTGCCTAATTTACATTCCGGCAGGTTTATCAAGAAATTAACTCCGCTAAGTTTCAAAGAGTTATCACAGAGACAAAAATAAGAAATGGAAATATTTCCATTTAATGTGTTGAATGAGGGCTTCTAACTTTCAACCTAGCTGGGTTCTCTTTAGCATCTTACTTAGTAACATTTTACAAAAAAATCCAATTTGTAATAGAATCCACTTGCCCTTTCGTAGATATGTGATATATGATCTATATGTACTTCTAAGAAAGGAGCTTAATTTGTTCACTTTAGTTGTGCCTTCTGTTGAATTGATTTTGTTCTTGGAGTGGATTTTGAAATTCCTTCTCCAACCTTTGCTGGAGTATAGAGGATGTAAAAATCAATAGGTGTGAAATTGACACTAGATATGTCTTGATCTGAAGCACCATAAATCTGTTAAGTAATTGTCTTAGATACTAAGAATAGGCCTTTGGTTGATTTACGCCAAGTTTTAATACACAAAAAAATGTGCGTAATTCTACAGAGAAATTGTCTGGGGATTGAAATTTACCAATCTCAGGCGTATCATAGAATTTACATCAATTGTACTTGGCAGTATGGCTAGATTTTCTTGTATAAATTAATTCTCAATCTTGACTGGATCTATATATGGTTTTAAATAAAATGTTAATACAAAAAATATAGATGCCTGTCAATCCAAAGCATTCATTTTATTAAACAATTTATGGGTAAAAGGCATTAGAAAACTATGGGGGTTATAAACTGGTCACAAAATCTTTTGCTTCTCATGTTTATATAGATATACTTAGTTTTAGCCAATATTTGATCCAATGTAAATTATGATTTTTCGAAATACTTAGAGCAAGTCTTTGGTTTCAGGGCATTATAAGGCAATTTATGTAGAATGCAAAGGCTTCAATTACAATTAAGATAACCGTTTACCTTCATGAAATCCCATTAGATTATGTTTAATTGCTGGACATTAAATCATATTGGTTTGTTCTAGTCAGTCTGTTAGGTAGAGGGTTATCCCATGTAGCTGACGTGGGTAGATTTTATGACATGGATATGAATTATAAAGTCAGGAGAGGGAACTATAAAACTGACATATTAGGTTATCAACAAATTATAGTCAGACCTGAGTAACAAGAGGCTATAAAATTGTACTTAGACAAATAAATGTGCATAGCAAAAGAATTATAGCCAAAAAAGTCTGATAAATTGTGCAATGTTAAGAAGTGTAAACTTGGAATAAAATTGACTTTAGAGTGTTCATGTATCAGCTTGCTTTAAACCTTAAAGAACATTTTTCATATATGAGGTTTAAAGTAACCAATGATTTCACAAACATTGTCAGTCCAACTAGAAATACATTAGTCTGTCCCCATCAAAATTGTATGCTCAGATCATGGTTATATTACCTATAGAGGTCATGCTAAGTGACAACCATCCTTAAACCATTATTAAATCATTATAAACCGTTAACTAATCTTTGTAGGATATAAATTTATGTTAATTATGCCCTTCTCATTCCAGGAGCCACAATGTCCACCCCCTCTGTAGGAAATGGCCCTGATGAGGTGAAACCCAATCCAGGCTCAGGTAAGATATACATAAAGGCACTGAAAGTTTTGGTCTCTTCCTAGTTCTAAGCAGACTGGTCATCACAGTTTGGTGTGGATATTCTCTTCTTCTAACTTAAATCATTTCAATCATGCACCTATCAAATACAGATAAAAATAGATCTGATGTAATAATATTGGCATGTGATGTTTTAATCAATCAGTAGTTTAGGAAAGTTTAGGAGACAAGATAATATTCCAGTCAAGTCGAAGGCTTTGCCCAGTTACCTCACCCTGTAGTACATGTATAAAGAGCCATGATAAAACATGCTGAATCTGTAAAGGGTTGCTAAAATAAAGTTTCTATTGTAGGTGTGATTGTGGACCAGCCTGACAATATTGAGTATGAACAGTCCCTCCAGATTGTCCTGGGGACAGTGTGTGGGGTGGTGGGACTTCTAGGACTAATCATCATCATCTCTCTATTGTACAAACTGTATAAACGCCGCAACTCACCACGGCGCTCACCAGGTAAATACATCATCTCCCTTCTGTACAAACTGTATAAACGCCACAACTCACCACGGCGCTCACCAGGTAAATACATCATCTCACTTCTGTACAAACTGTATAAACGCCACAACTCACCACGGTGCTCACCAGGTAAATACATCATCTCCCTTCTGTACAAACTGTATAAACGCCGCAACTCACCACGGCGCTCACCAGGTAAATACATCATCATCTCCCTACTGTACAAACTATATAAACGCAGCAACTCACCACGACGCTCACCAGGTAAATACATCATCTCCCTTCTGTACAAACTGTATAAACGCCACAACTCACCATGATGCTCACCAGGTAAATACATCATCATCTCTCTCCTGTACAAACTGTATAAACGCCGCAACTCTCCATGATGCTCACCAGGTAAATACATCATCATCTCCCTACTGTACAAACTGTATAAACGCCGCAACTCTCCACCACGCTCACCAGGTAAATACATCATCATCTCCCTACTGTACAAACTGTATAAACGCTGCAACTCACCACGACGCTCACCAGGTAAATACATCATCTCCCTACTGTATAAACCGTATAAAAGCCGCAACTCACCGCGGCGCTCACCAGGTAAATACATCATCATCTCTCTACTGTACAAACCGTATAAATGCCGCAACTCACCGCGGCGCTCACCAGGTAAATACATCATCATCTCTCTACTGTACAAACTATATAAACGCCGCAGCTCACCACAGCACTCACCAGGTAAATACATCATCATCTCCCTACTGTACAAACTGTATAAACACCACAACTCTCCACCACGCTCTCCAGATAAATACAACATCATCTCCTTACTGTACAAACTGTATAAACGCCGCAACTCTCCACCACGCTCACCAGGTAATACATCATCATCTCCCTACTGTACAAACTGTATAAACGCCGCAACTCTCCACCACGCTCACCAGGTAATACATCATCATCTCCCTACTGTACAAACTGTATAAATGCTGCAGCTCACCACAGCACACACCAGGTAAATACATCATCTCCTTACTGTACAAACTGTATAAACGCCGCAACTCACTACGGCAGTCACCAGGTAAATACATCATCTCCCTACTGTACAAACTGTATAAACGCCGCAACTCACCACGACGCTCACCAGGTAAATACATCATCATCTCCCTACTGTACAAACTGTATAAACGCCGCAACTCTCCACCACGCTCACCAGGTAAATACATCATCATCTCCCTACTGTACAAACTGTATAAACGCCGCAACTCTCCACCACGCTCACCAGGTAATACATCATCATCTCCTTACTGTACAAACTGTATAAATCCCACAACTCGCCATGGCGCTCACCAGGTAAATATACCATCTCCCTCTTGCACAAATTGGAACACTAACTTCATACATCAGTGAAAAGCTTTTGTCAAAATTGTTTTTATATTTTGTAAATTATTCCACTTATATTCACTGTACTATACTATTTTGTAGATCACCCTGAAGAGGAATTGAGTAGCTCTATTTCTATAGGTCAGTATTATTAAGTAGCTCTATTTCTTTAGGTCAAGAAACAAGAGAGATATTGATTAATTTTGGCTCACCTGAGCTGAAAGCTCAAGTGAGCTTTTCTGATGTCCTTTGTCCATCTGTCCTTTGTCTGTATATTCACATTTTCATTTTCTTCTCCAGAATTGCTGGGCCAATTTCAAACAAACTTGCCATAAAGCATCCTTGTTAAAGAGGATTCAAGTTTGTTCAAATGAGGGACCTGACCCTTTTTCAAAGGAAGATAATTAAGAATTAGTGAAAATTTGGTTGTGTCTTTAAAACAAAAATCTAAATAACAACTGGGCCAAGAAAGTTGAAACTTATATGAAACTTTATTTACATAGTGTAGATTCAAGTTGTTCATTTCATGAGCAAAAAAAATTTTTTAAAAATATTCCTCTCAAGAGGACCACAATGGGCCACAATGGGGGATAAAAGTTTTTACATAGGAATATATGGGAGAAAATCTACAAGAATCCTCTCACTAGAACAGAAAAAAGCCATGTTAAGTCTTATTGAAAATAAAATATTCTCACTTACTGTAATTTTAAATTTGGTCAAATCATGACCCCCTGGGGTAGGATGGGCCACAATGCACTATCAGAATTAAATATATGGATTTATTGGGACAAAAGTAAATCTTTTTCATATATTTTTATGTAAGAACAATAAAGCTATCTTTAGTCTCATCGATATTGAAATCAAAGTATATAGAAGAAAATCTGCTGATGAAGAACAGCAGGGCCATTTTAACTAAGGTGAGTATTGTGGCCCATGGGCCTCATTTTGTGTCTTCATAAAAAGTATATAAATTTTCTAAGACACTGACACTTGGACATTGACTTCTCAGATCTTACATAAGCAGTCCCTTCTGTGATTTGTTCCATCAAGTCCTCAGCTCTCTGTCAATTAGCTAATAGAGGTTTTCCTTTCTCCTTGAAATGCTGTGATGCAAATAATGGTAGAGGTTCATATGGTACTCAGAAAACTTCTTAGGAATGACATTGAACTGTGTTTTAATTAGCCTAGGATGACTCTGCAGGGGAGAGTCCAAAGACAGCAATGTACTGTCACTGAACTGCGTATTGATTGGGAAGTCTGCTGTGAAATCATAAGGAATACTGTTCTATGTTTAATACAGACTTTTAAAAGGTGACAATGTGCGTCTTACATTTACGTCACACACAGAACATTTTAACAGTGTCTCAGAATTTACCTTTCTTGCAAGAATACAAGTTTTAGCAAAATTGAGTAAATTTCAGAAATTTTACTACATTTAGTAAAATATTGTTCTGATGATCAAAATGTTTAGCTTTATGCAAAACATGAAAGGTCCAAGCTAACATTAGTAATGCTCTACATAACATTTACATACTTGTTAATTTCAGCAGTTGTCCAAATTTTTTGTCAAGATTATAATTAAAAAGAATACGAAACTGTGAAAACAGAATGTAAAATTTTACGTTGGAAAGACCGGGTTGTAGAAATCTGGTACTACAGAATTCACCTGTTTTATTCTACTGAGAAGGACTTGTGACAGTTCTATATTAACAATATAGGGAGTGAATTTGTGACAAGAATTAATCTCTGTCAGTAAAAATAAAAAATATTTTTTGGAGCAGTTATTTGTATAACAGTTAGATGGTTATTGGAAAACACTGGAGGGACAATAAATGGTTGTATGTAGAGATTGTCCTTAAACTTGTAGATCTAAGAGTTCTTGAAAAACTTCTACCTTTCAATTTATATCTTTTTACTTTTTAGCTTGAATACTGTTCATTATCTCTACATATTTCATGCTGATGTTATATTTACAGACCTGGACCAGAAGCAGATTCCCACGATACTGCTGCTGTATGCCTATGACTGTGTGGCCCACGAGAAGGTTGTGTCGGCCCTGGCAGGCTTCCTCATTGACACCTGTAATTGTAACGTACACCTGGACATATTCGAGGACCAGATTATCCACGAGCGGGGACTAGATGATTGGCTGGTAGATAGGCTCCAGGAAGCCGATTTCATCATAGTGTTATGTTCTGTGGGAGCTAGACTGAGGTGCACAAAGAAACGTGTCCGGTTTAAGTGTGATCCGTACCGCACCATACCCGATTATTTTGCAGTGGCTGTTGACTATGTGGCAGAGAAAATGAGAGTGGAGAGAATGAAAGGTCTGCCCATGTCCCGCTTCATTGTAGCCTACATGGATTATTCTTACAGTAGTGACATACCCCATCAGATTGAAATGGGGACAAAGTTTCACTTGATGAATGATATCACCAAACTTTTCTGTCATGTTCATGGTATGAATAGCACAGACAATAGCAAGTTTGGAACCTTGCACCCATCCATGATTGATGAGTATTATGAAAGCTCAGAAAATGGGCTTGAGCTTCAGGTTGCTATTGAATCTGCCAAAGAGTTCTTTAAGTGCAATCCTAATTGGGTGGAGGACAGTATGGAAGTTCTACCTCCACCCAGTACCAAGTCAAAATCGCGTCCGGTGAGGAAGAGGTCCCTGGAGCCCTTATTGGGGGAGCCTCCAGCTGACCCCCGAGTGGTGGATACTAAAGTCGACGTTCACAGACAAAACTTCTCCTCCCCTCAGCCGAGTGAACAAGATCAAATTTTCTCTTCACCTAAAACATTGTCCAGGCAATCAGATTCATTCAAAATGAAGAATCGCTATTCTGCAGACATTGAGACAATTCCCTGTATCTTATGTGGGCAGGTGGGCCATTACAGTGATAACTGCACCTGTAAAGGGAGGGAACAGAGAAAAAATGCACATGATAACTTAAATGACGAGGAGGACGGTGAATTTTTTTCTGCTCGAGTCAAGAGTCGATCAATGCCCACAATGTGTAGTACAAGTCTTCATAGCTCCCAAACAGTATTTCAGGTGGATGTCCACAAGGAATGGACAATGAATGAGGGTCAGATGTCAGATGAAGGCGAATCTCAGGAATATGAGTCCAGTCGTGACCTTGATGACCTTGAGCGCGACCTTCAGTCCATTATTTCACCTATGTCAACACAAGCTAAGACCATGTCCTTGCCAATTAATGGAATGTATGGACAACAAATGCAAGTGCTTCCTGAAGTGTCCAAATTTCCAGTCACTCAGCAAAGCAGTTCCTCTTCAAGCATGGGGTCTCTCCAGGAGCTGTGTTTATGAGCCAACAGGAAGATATTCTGGCAGGAACCAATTAAAGCCTTAGAATAGTTATGACGTCTGATTCAACATCAAGGGCTATTGCACCATATAAAGAATATGGCATGCATAGTGCTATATTTTTCATGATAAGGATGATTCTATTTATGTTACTTAAGATATAATGATGAGAGACATTTTTGATGTACACTGTAGAATTGTTGTATGACCTCACACTCTCTTCAGATTTGCCCTCATCCATTAATTTGCCCCCCTTCCCGTCTACTGATTATCCCATTATTCAATTATTTGCCTAAAATATGATGCACATATTTTATTCTAATTTATAACTATGTAATTTTCTAATATTTCAATTGCATACATAATTACTACTTAATGAACATTGCACAAGTTCATTGCTTGTTTAAGTTAAGTTGTACATGTAGAGCCAGTCTTTGGCAATGGAGTAGAGTGGTTTGAAATTTATATCAAATAATACTCCAAATTTGCAAGCAGGAAAGACATTTGTTAGAGTGGCTGATATGTCTGCAGTGTACATCATGCAATAAGTTATTATTTATGAGTTAAGAAGCAAATTTATCAAAGAAACAGTGCTTGTATGTGTTGGGTTTTTTTTTAACAGTAAGCTTTTTTTATATAAAAATAAAGGAATTCTGAATGTGTAAGATTTAGATAATTTGCTTTTGAAGACTATAAATGGAAGCTTGTGCAATATACTGTTTTCTCTATTGGTACATGTACAATGTATTTGTGTTCATATACATTTTTGTATGATTATTTTTAAAAAGGCTGTGAACAAGAGTTGATCCTCTTCAGTTATGATCTTGATGTTCTTTTCCATTGGTTGTTCATTCCTTGACACTTCATTTTTTGCTTTGGTATTAAATTTACCATTTAGAGTAAAGGAAATGGTATTCTGTCTATTAATAAAGCTTTTTGAAGGTGCTTGTCAAATAATGACTGTCATAAAATCTGTTCATAGCTCTCGATTGTCATAAAATCATCATGTGGTCTATTTTATCCCCTTTGAAAAACTTAATTTATCTTAATGAATGTCTCATGTGATTAACCTATAGATATGTTCCCATATGTAAGGTGCTAACCTAATGCCTACTTCCTGTATTGATCTCGGATAGGCTGGAGGGGGGTGTTCCCCTGTGCTAGTCAGATAGGCAGATAGCACTCAAGTCCTGATTCTGTGTCTGTATATTCGTCTGTATTTCAGGTACTAGGACTTACCTAATTTAATACAAAATTTAGAAATTTAACATGCATTGTGTATTTTCAAATAAATTGAGGAAATCTAAAATATTATATCCAAAGAAAAAAAAAATGAGAAAATCAAACTTGATCAAGTGTGTGATGTATGTCCTCTGTAAATCCAAGAATCAGATTTGTAGTGAATGAAATACCCTATCAGATGTACATGTATTACAGATGTGTGTTTAGATAGTTAACTAAATGCTACTTGATAAGAATGCAATCAGTGTCAACATATCATAAATCTCTTACTCATTGCACTTTCCTTATTTGTCATTTATTTATTGCATTACATCAACAGTTGTTTCCTCTCTATATACATTAGGTTAATGATATTATTGTATTAATTATGAGTGTGTGTTTGATTCAGTGTGGAAATTATTGATCTTCGTCATGTACAATGCAAACAAATAAGTATTTAATAAATGACAAAAATGAGGAATGTTTTTAGTTGTATTCTTCAATATACTTGTGTTTTTATGCACCAAATGTTGTGTGACTTTGTCATTATAGGGAAAAAACAGAAAAAATTCACAGACAATTCAGTTTGTGTGTAAGTCATTGGCTATCAATAAGTAGGAAAAATTTAGTCAGCATTCGACTTATTGACAGGTTCATTGTATCATCCATAGAACTTGCAAATTACAATTTTAAACAAGACTTTATAATCATTTCAACAACTTGTTTGTCAATGGCTTGAATCATCTTAAAATCTGTATAGTGGCAGCATGCTTTAATCAACTGGGAGACAAAAACCTCCTATACAGGTGACAGGGTCATGATATTGCTGCATGAGTAAGGGAAGCTGACGATGGAATAAAATTAAGTCATCATGTGTATCATCAACTTTAGTTTAAATTTGTTTTGTTAGGTTACCATTAATGTCTTTTTCTAGTAATAATATAAGTATGAAACAGATGTGTACACTAGATTATCTTTTATTTCAAGCTATAAGTGGCATATATTAAGTCAACATTTAAAACTATAATTAACTGAGATTACATTGTTGATATATCTAAATCTTGAGTTGAAGGCCACAGCAAATTTTAATTCTTATCCTGCATAAGGTTTTGAATATATTCTGCTAATTATGATAGAATAAATAATACCGTTAATGCATTTGAATATGTGACATATGGCACGCCAAATTCACAAAAATCAGATAATCATAGTTTCACAATCGATAAACTAGGTTTATCGGTTGTAAACTATAGTTTACAAACCGTAAACTATAGTTAACAACATTAATCTATATTTCACATCTGTAAACCATAGTTAACGCGATAATCTATGTTTCAAAACCGTAAACTATACTTAACACCGAAAACAATCATTTGCGAAGTATAGATTATCTGATAAATACAGTTTCACGATTTGTAAACTATAGTTTACAAACCGTTAACTATAGTTAACGATCTGATAAATATAGTTTCACAATTTGTGAAACTATGATTAACAACTCTTAACTATAGTTTACAATTGTAAACTATAGTTTACAAACGTGAATCTATGTTTATCAACAAAATCTATTGTTAACGCTTTATTACAAACAGATAAACTTAAATTAACATTCGTAAACTATAGTTAACAACCGTTAAATATAGTTTTACAGATGAAAACTATACTTAACGAATCGTTAACTATAGTTTACGGTTTGTAAACTATAGTTTACAGCCGATAAGCCTAGTTTATCAATTGTGAAACTATGATTATCTCATTTTTGTGAATTTGGCATGCCATAGTGACAAGTTCAAAATGATTTGACACACCAACCCATTTTTTATGGTTTCCCGCCTCATTATAAAATTATCTTGAACCCTCAAAATTTGGATTTTTATATATTTTGAGATAATGAGATTTGACAGCACATGTATTTCGATGACCAGTCATCACCTTGTACTGTATGAAAAAAAATTTACTATGGTAAATGCTTTGTCCCTGGTCCTGACCATGACAAGCATATTATCCTGAACATTATGAATGCACAATATATAAGACGACTTTTCAACATAAATAAATTATTGATTTTTCTGGCACCATTCCAACAAAGTAATAACCCTTTCTTGTCTATACAATTTTCGTCATCTTTCTGCATTGAACTTTTGCTTCAATATCCCTTTATACGATGAAATTTTGTGAGAAGTTTGTTATAAATTGATTCATTGTTTCTTCAGAAGATGAAAATTTGCAGTTAAGGACCCTATTTACACTGCAAATCTGTTGTTTTGAATGCAATTCTCGTTATCTATAACCTAAGGCTATAAATCTAAAGATTTAAGATCTAAAGTCAACATAATTGAAATCTACCGAATATTACCCAATATGTAAATGATTCAAGCATTCTAAATATTGTTTAAGTCTAAGACCAAAATAAATCAATTGACACTGTATTTGGATGCATTAAGTTCGCAAAATTGAATATCTTTTCAGTGCTTATTTTTTAGTTGTACTTGTTCTCATGTTTGTACTGCACATTGCAAATAAAATTTATAAACTTACACATTTATTCCTTTCAAAAGCCAAAGAATAAATTTACTCAATGGCCACATATATAACGTTTTTTTTTCAAAAGAAATTTTCCAAACATATACCCTTCGGATGAACTTTCTTAAAAATCTCTGGTCATCAAGAGGATGTAGGATAAAATTTTCTCAATGTCTAAAAACATTTTTTTCAGGATTGTCTTGAGGGCCAGTTAGAGATTTGATATTGAAATTTGTGACAACTGAATCGTTCAAATATGATTGGGCTTACAAGATTCATTCTAGGACACTTGATGCCACATTTATCATGAATAAGCAATAAATAAGGTTTTCCTATGCTTTTCTTATAATTTGAAATCTTTCAGATAATAAAAGATTACTTATTGTTTGTTCATTATTTAATAAAACATTTCTACATGGTACAAGCATTTGGAAATGCATTTCAATGGTAAAAAATGAAATACACAAAATTAATTCAGAACTCAACATACTCTGCTTGGAACTAATTTAACTTGTAGTCTGCAGTCAAATTATCTAATTTTCCATCAATATGTGAACTAATTGCAACAGTTTCAAAACTTAGTTATAATCAATCTATGATATGATCTGAATATATAACAAAAAGTTTAGAAACATTTATACATGGGAAAATTGAAAAATTGAGGTCATCATTAGGACGTATTGTGTTCACTCTGATTAAGTGTTAAACGAACAATGTAAAGCAGAAACTTCTATACTGGTTTTAAAAAAAACATGTATTAAGCAGGGAAATAAACTTAACTGAATAAACTGAATTGGAAAAATATTAAATTTTGGTTACTATATGTGTTGGTTGCCATGGAAACAGTATAAATTGAGAATTTCACCTACTTTTGAACAATGAACCTTAACAAACACAAATATAGTCATTACGTGAGTTTACACACATACTCAAAATGCATTCTTTTGCCATAAATGCTTCACAAGAAATTATTTAGAAGATTTATGTAAATAGGTGGTAACCATGGATACATTATAAATGAATTTTACATGAAAAATTTCGGTATTCAGCAATACTAAGTATAGCACAAATATACACAATCACCAAAAGTTAAGAAACAATAAAAATGTTTTAATTCATATGAAAGGTAATATCCGAAAATAATTAGGAGCAGATTTAGAGGGGTCAGGGGACATCCCCCAATAAGAATTTTTTTATGAAAAAGTAGCAGAAAATGCCCCCCCCCCCCCCAAAAAAAAAAAAAAAACCTGAATCTCTCCTGTAACTGAAAGGTTTTCCCCGTATATGAAGAAAATTGTTGGAAAATCTCATAGAACCCCATTCCTCCCCGAAATAGATTTATATGTTTTTATTCTGGATTAGGTAGGTTGTTATTTTTTTTTGTCAAAAAATATTCTGAAATCTGAATTTTTTACGCACAGCAAAGCTGTTCCCCATAGATTATATTGTAGTTGTGTTGTCCACCCTTCAAAAAATTTTCTTTCAACATGTGACACCATGCAGTTTTGAGTCCCTGCAATATGATTGGTTGGTAACTTGTATAAAATGCTCAGAAATAAAAAAAATACTCTGTTTGCATCAGTATCATAAAATGCTTGTACACTATAATGAGTATGTTGGTTCTTGCTTGATCAGAACTTGAACCCACCCCACACCCGGGTACCCTACAGGGTATTTCTTGTCATGAGTTTAATAAAAATGCTATCTTACTCATATCAAGCGGATCAATGTATTTTTTTACCCTCCATAAAATGAAACCACGCCCTCCGGTGTGATAAGAACATAGCAACATTTAATGTTGCTTCATGGATGGTGATATTCCAAAAAATATTTCAAGATTTTTTTCAGTGTAACCCTCAACTACATTCAATAATATGAAGATAATACACATTTTAGGATAAAATCTGAAATTGTTATCCCTTGAAAATTATCATTGTTCACCAAGATGTAGCCGAATCAACAGTAATTAAATTGCATTGAGTACAAAATATCGTGAAATGTGCGCACAAAGGTCCTGCGCAGTTAATAATTATCATATTGTTACCCTTCTTAAATCTTAATGTATTTCAAACCGTTGCTATGTAATGTTACTTGAAGAGGGTGGGGGCAATTGAAAGCACACAGTAGATTATTTTATTCTTACTGATAAAAAAAAATCTAAGGTCAAATTAAAGCACTTACATAAATGGAATGAAGTAAAAGAGAGCAAGCCAAGTATTTGTTTCAAGGAAGAATTAAATGTTAAACTCTTGGTAGCTACTGGTAGTCAATTTTTACTTGTTCAAATTCATATGTAAAGGTATTATTAATGTTTGTTATATTTTCCCCAAATATTTTTATCCTAACAGTAATAGAAATTATAAGACTTTGGCTTTAATCTAGGAATTCACCCGCATGGTGCAGTGTTTAGAGCATCTGTTCTAGAGTTGCGAAGTAAGGAGTCGATCCTTATGTCACGGGTTCGAATCCCACTGTGGGATGTGGAGACCGGTCGAATAAGACCGTATAAACCAAGGTCCCGTGTCGCAGTAGGCACTGGCGCGAAAAAGATTCCTCGCTGCTTAATTAATGGCCCTAAGTGCTGAGTATAGAACAAAATGTGCAGCTCTCCACCGGCAAGTGGTGGCGTCTCCATATGCATGAAAAATTCTCGAGAGGGACGTTAAACAATATACAATTATAGTAGAAACTAGAAAGATTCATGTCCATCTACTTTTCTTTTTTTTCAATGTTGCTCTTATTAAGAGGTGACTTTGCAAGTGTTCCAGATTGTTCACATTCTAAAGCATGCTCATGGAAACTCCGTTATCACCAGTCCCCATAAAATGGAGCTTCAATAATTGCCGCATCTGGCATTTTACTGTTGCAAAAATGACCATATGATCTACAAGGAGAAGTTAAGTTTTTAAAAATGGGTTTGAAATATTTTGTTAAAAAGTTACATTAAGAATTTTAAAAAAGAGCATTTAAGCATTTAATTCTGTCTAAATGATTCCATTTGAATTATTTCCATTAACTATAAACATAATGCAGCTTTTGTACATGTATAGATACATGGTGCAGTCCATATAGAGACAAGAGGCCCATGGGCCACATCGCTCACCTGAGAAGCTTTGACCATTCTGTTCTTTACCAGATTTCCCCCTTGTTATACATAATGCATCCCCACCCTACCCCACTGATCATAATTTAGACATTTTGAAATCTACACTACCCCATGATCCTTCCATGGGCACATATGTTTCAGCTTTTTTGGCCCAGTGTGTTCCTGAGAAGAAGATTTTCAAAGATTTTTCCTATATATTTCTATGTAAAACTTTGATTCCCCTATAATGGCTCCGCCCTTCCCCCGGGGGTCATGAGTCCTACAATTTAGAATTTACACTACCCCAGAATGTTTCCACATAAGCTTCACTTTTTCTGGCCCAGTGGTTCTTGAGAAGAAGATTTTCAAAGATTTTTCCTATATATTTCTATATAAAACTTTGATTCCCCATTGTGATATTTTCCCCTGGGGGTCATTATTTGAACAATTTAGAATCTACATTATACCAGGATGCTTCCACATAAGTTTCAGCTTTTCTGGCCCAGTGGTTCTTGAGAAGAAGATTTTCAAAGATTTTTCCTATATATTTCTATATAAAACTTTGATTCCCCATTGTGTCCCGGGCCCTATCCCCTGGGGGTCATTATTTGAATAATTTAGAATTTACATTATACCAGGATGCTTCCACATAAGTTTCAGCTTTTCTGGCCCAATGGTTCTTGAGAAGAAGATTTTCAAAGATTTTCCTATATATTTCTATGTAAAACTTGGATTCCCCATTGCGGCCCCGCCCTTCTCCCGGGGGTCATGATGTGAACAATTTAGAATCTACACTATACCAGGATGCTTCCACATAAGATTTAGCTTTTCTGGCCCAGTGGTTCTTGAGAAGAAGATTTTCAAAGATTTTTCCTATATATTTCTATATAAAACTTTGATTCCCCATTGTGGCCCCGCCCTTCCCCCGGGGGTCATGATTTGAACAATTTAGAATCTACACTACCCCAGGCATGCTTCCACATAAGTTTCAGCTTATCTGGCCCAGTGGTTCTTGAGAAGAAGATTTTTTAATGACCCAACCCTATTTTTCTCTTTTCTTGATTATCTCCCCTTGCGAGGGGATATGTCCCTTCATTTTAACAATTTAAATTCCCCTTCACCCAAGAATGCTTTGTACCAAGTTTTGTCAAAATTGGCCCAGTGGTTCTCGAGAAGAAGTCGAAAATGTGAAAAGTTTACAGATTGACAGACAGACGGCAGACGATGGACAAAATGTGATCAGAAAAGCTCACTTGAGCCTTCGGCTCAGGTGAGCTAAAAAAGGTCAATATCAATTGGCTTTTTTTATATAAGGTTCGCTACTCTTTACAAAAGCAATAAGCAGTATATCTGGAGAGCAAAAAAATGTTTGAATCACACAGTTCAAATTTAAGTTCCGGAGATGCCTGAATGGAATTAAATATTTGATTTTTTTAACTTAGAGACCTTCAAAATCAAATCCTATTCATGTGGTTCCATAAATTCTGTACTCTTTATTTCAAAATGATACATTTCTATAAATTTTCTAGATATTTAATCAAAATGTATTCTGTAATGATGCAATTGTAACAACTCTGATATAAATCATACATGTACTTGTCTGATAAGCTTCCTTGTAGAATTCTTTAGAAAAGGCTGTTTTGACTTATTTTGTATACAAACTGTGTTCCATACATTTTTTGTTTCTTGTGTATAAATTCCCAAAATGTCCATCAGGTGTTTACAAATAAAATGAAAGTAAACACATTTAGGAATTTCACATACATGTATATTGTAAATACAAACAGCGTTCCATACTTTTTTGTTTACATGAATGGTAATTGCAAACATATAGATGATATTTGGCCGGTGTGGAAGTCAAAACTTCACTTCTTTGAAAATCAAAATATATTTGATTTAGTTTTGATTGCATAACAAACTACAGGTTAAAAAAAAACAACTTTTAATGCTAATTGGCTATTGTTTACAGCCTGTCTGACATAGAAAGCTCATATAGAAAAAGTACGGTGTGCAAATGGATAATTCTAAATTCATATTGATCCCTAATTTTAATCTTTCGATTTCCCAACTTTCCCCTGAGTGAATTTTTCTAAACTTTTTATATGTGAGTTACTAATAGTTTATCTACAAATCTGCATTAAAATATATACTGTTGCAATTAGTTCTCATTTTTCAGTAGAATGACTAGCTAGACTATTGCAAGTACTTACACATAAAGTCTAAAAATACTTTGTCATAATCATGATAGACAAGTGAATGATATTGTACATGATTGTGTACGTACATTGTACATGATTGTACCTGTATATCAGATCAGAAATACTCAGTATTTCTGTTGTGGTTTTAAAACAGATTCTGAAGCAGATTTCTGTATAAGGACTAATATTACTTTAGTGTTTTTTTTTTAATGAAAAAAATCATTATAGTCATTTTTTTCTCATGCACAGTTCATTTTCTATTTGAAAAAAATAAATTAGACCCTGGTTTTCTTTACCACTGGATAAAGATCCCAGGAATATATCACAGTTAGTGTTTAATGTTATGTCCATACACTATACGTTGACGTGATATTTGGCCAGCTGTAAGTTGTGAATGACGCGATCTGCGTCGAGTTGTCGGAAGTACGCGTCGTCATCGTCCCTTACCAGCTGATCCTGTAACAAGTGGATCTCTGACTCCATCTTCTTACGCAACTCTTTCTTCATCTGTTCTAGTACCTGAAAATGAGCAATGGTGTGTAATAAAACATACTAGATGGATCAGCCTTACATCTTCAATTGACGTAGGGCATAGAAATAAATGTACAAATAGCGGGAAAAAACTGCTTCAAAAACTTTAATTGTGAAGTTAAGGTCTGTGAAGTTTAGGTCAAAGTCAGACATACTGATATAATAGCCCTCATCAAAATATTCAGTATATGAAGTTTGAAAAAGAAATCTTGAAAAGTTTTTTTTTTTGAAACTGAAGAAGGACCACGTTAAAGGAATGAAAGGTTAAGGTAAAAAAAAATTGATAAATTTGAATTTCTCTTTTCAATATGTATCAGCATACAATGTCCAATAAAAATGTGTTGAAAAGTTACTTTTCAACCGAGCTAAATATAAATTTTTAAAAACTAAGGTCAAGGAAATAGAAAAGTTCAAGGTAAAAAAGTTGAACTTTTTTTTTAAAAAAAGCTCATCGATAAAATATCTTGAATAGTCTCTCTTACACTAAGATAATCATAAAGTGTAATGGAAAAACACATGAAAGGATAGAAAACTGATATGATACACATTATATGCCCCAGTCAGGCATAAAAACTATATACTATCCAATATTTTCATGTTTTTTTTAACAAGATCTGTTTAGTGTATAGAGATTCTGTCAGCATTTCTAAAAGAATGGGTGCCCGAGGAATTTTGACCAGAAGAACTGAAAACTGATTTCAGCTAATAGTTTATCTATACTTAATGATTTAGTAAACTTCAGTAACCTAATCTTGAATGTTTTACTCAGTACAAACCTTCTGTTGGGCCTTTTCTCTGATTAAAATTTCTTTTCTTTCCTTACTTATGGATTCTGCCAGCATTTCAAATTGATCACGGTAACTTGTTTGGGTCAAGGCAAGATAAACTTACAAATTCCATCTTATAAGATAATCCTGTATAAATGAATACTACATGTACAACACTACAACACAACATTTCCAAATACCAATACTGCACTTATTGTAAGGTACAGTACATGTATAACTAATATTGCATATTACATGTAGTCATGTACCCATAAGATAAATAATGAATTACTACCTATCATCAGTCACAAAAACTATATGATAGCAATAAGAAAATTTGTCAAAATTCTAAAAGATTCTTGTCAATTTAATAAGACATGTGATTTTAATGTTTTAATGTATAATGTAAACATTTAATGTGATTATGGTGTGCAAATATATGTAATGTGATTTATCATCCTCTATCTTAATGGACTATCACCTTCGATTCTATTTCTAGACACAGTGTATACAGTTAACTAAATTAACAAGGATACTAGTTCTCCATGGACTCAATCTCGTTCCTTTGAGCACTGGCCTGAGAATCCCGCTGTTCCTGGGCATATTTCTTCAACTCTCGCACACGGTCCTTTTGGATATCCAATCCATCTTTAAAAAGTTTGCGGAATATCTGCAAAACACATTATATCGATAAGTTTATGGTATCTTTCAATAAAATTAAGCATTTAATGAAAATTTCAATACTCCATCTTACCATTTCTTCTCGAGTGCGCCTCTTGAGCATCTTGGATCTCATCCTGACCTGGTAATCGTCGTAATATTTACGAGATCGAGCTGACTGAGCTCGCTTCTCTTGGATCAGATTCTTGGCAGCCACTGTCTGCTTTTGTCTTTCTTTAATTTCTTTCTGTAAAAAGATTAAAATTTCCCAATCATCCACCGTAAGTTATACCTCATTTTCAAAAGACAACATAGTGTGGACTTCCAAAGAAAAGTTCAAATTGGCAGGCATTGTCCATTTAAAAGATTTTTTTTATAATTTATAGCAAGATTAAGATACATGTATTAAGTCTGGCATGAGTATGGTCATCCTTCTTAAGATAGAGTTAAGTTTCACAGGATACTGGGATACACACATTTTCTAACTCAAACCATAAATATCTATCGTAAATAATTAATTACTACACTGCATAATAAATATATTACTTACCATACGCTGACCATGCTCCAATTCTTTCTTCATTATATTGACCATGATTTCATGTCGTTTTTCTGCCTCTTCCAGCTTGAATAATATATAAGTTAAAGCTAATGCAGAAAAGTAGGAGTGCACTTTTATATTAAAAATAATTACCAACTATTTCATATTACTATTACTATTACTAATTTATTACAATTAAATATATTTATAGACAAAAGTACACATTTACATACATGTAGATAAAAAAAATTTAAATACAGTTATTCCTCAAGATATCTTCAGTACTTTTATATACTTATTCTGTATGAAATAAATGGTTTTTTTGTAATCTCACAACTGGTTGATTACTGACCTCAGCCTTGGCTTTACTCTTTTTGCGTCGGACTTCCTGGTTGGCCCGTGTGACCTGCTCTATCTGGTGGATGCCCTTCCTCCATAGTTCGTGCCAGGTGTGGAGGGACAGGTGGAGGTGAGGGAACTCCTTCAGCAGCAGGGGTAATATGTCCTCATCATCCTTAATCGTCACTGAAAAGGATTAATATAATCATGAACAATGAATCTTGCTTAATTTCCTTGCAAAAGAGTGGGGCTTGAAAATAGTTGTGGTTCACAATTTAGCCCTGATTCACAATTGAACTTCATTACTTCTATGAGGAATGACAGGGATATTTCAGAGGGAACAATACAGAGCATATCATACTAGATAATTTTAATTTTGTTGTTGTTGCTGTAAATACGACAAATTTTGAGATACCAACATGAACAAGGTTTAGCAGTTTTCCATAATAGTTTATAACTTATATGTGTGATTGTTAATTGCATTATGTGTCTTTCCACTGTCAACACTCACTTTTCTGTTTGGGTATAGCTGTTGCACCACTAGGAGATTTTCGTTTAGCTTTACTACACACACTGGGCTTGTGAACTGGCATTTTCTTCTTCATTCCTATACGAAAAATAAGTGTTAGGGAAACCAATCATTAAATGAATTCAAGTGATTGATTTCAAAAGAGAAAGGTTTCCATCCCTGTACAGATTTCTTTACCTGGTTCCTTTGGTTTAACACTGGCCTTGGGACCTGTCAACACTTTCTTCTTGTATACATCTTCCTGTAATTCACAACATGATATAGGATCTAAACAATACAATCTTATTTGACATGATGTTCTTAAAATACAATGACTGGAGCATTACAGATCATGAATTAAATTCACTTACAATATTTTTGTGCATTACATATGTGTGTCTATAAAATATTTTGGAAGTACATATAGAGAATTTATGTCTAAAAGATGAAGTCAAAGGACCCAACATATGACTCATTCAAAAATAAGTACACATTTTACTGTCAGAGTTAAAATTGTTCATGCTAACCACAATTCCTGATTTAGCAGTCAACATAAATCACCTACATGTACCACATGAATACCAACTAAAAAGTATTCACTATTGACTAAAACTCACTCACCACCTGTTTAGCACCCTTCCTATCTTGACTTAATCCATACTCTGCTTCATTCTGAAGTTCATCTAAATCTTCTCTGTATATTCTTTGTAGAAACTGTAATACACAAAAAATTGTAATATACTTTGGTAATTTACCAATACTGCTAATCATTAGATCCAGATAAATAACATACATGAATATATTTACTTTAATAACATACATGTACATTGTACCAGGAACACTTTTAAAGGAAACAAATACAAATAAACTTACATTAATTTATTTATAATATATCAATAACATCAACCTAGTTATAATATAATCAATATGGATTAACACTCACATCGACTTTTCGTTTGTTGACACCTTTTTCATTATTCAACAGTCGCTGTGTATCAGAGATGGAGTAATTTCCCTTTGATTTACTGCCTAATCGACTTGAGTGAATTTTTTGCTGATCGTTCCGTGACCTAAATCTGGCCGGCATGGCCTCGTCCTCACTCAGAACATCATCAATGATTTCATGGAACCTGAAAAAGTCACCAGCAATTCATATTTGGGCACTTTAATTCAACTTTACATTTGTATTTATGAAACAATGCATTTTCCAGGAAAAGATTAAATACAATGGACAACACTTGAACAATTAGTTGCAAAGAAGTTGAGAATAAAGACACTGTTCCAAACTGTAGCCTTCACGTGAATCATTTTTTGTGGGGACCAATATTCATAGATTTTGTGGGTCACTCTAACCAATGAATTTACTACCCAAATATTAAAAGGGTAACTTTGTCAATTTTATAAGTTCACAGAATGTTCTGTATATAAGTATTATAAAAGTAATCTTTAAATGAATGTCATTGAGTGAAAGTTTGGTTGCCCATGAACTTTGACATACTGTACGTGTACACAGACTAATATATTCAAAATTCAGTGCAATCACTGGGTATTGAGTGATTTGTGTAATCCTGAAATAGTGCTACACACATCCATGCTATTTACTGCATTTATTATCAAACGTATTTATGAATTAGAACATTGTTGTCCTTGCCAAAGCCGCTCCAGTGTAAAACTTTTACAGTACATATACATAAACAGTATCAAATTGATCCACAGTATTTCAATCTCTTTCAAAGAACATGAAATTTAGGCAAAACATCTCAAAGTTTATGTACTGTTTCTTTAAGTAATCATCGTAGGAAAAGTTGGCGGGGTTTTTCTCGAAGTCAAAGAGACTGCTGTCCCCCGAGGTGCCCCTCCTTTGTGTATTGTCCTGACGAGGACGACTGGCTTTCTTTGATCCCTCCTTCTTCTCAGTCCAGGCTGTCTTAGTTTTAGGTTTATATCTAAATGATGGGAGATTCATGTTACTTGTGAAGTATCTTTTTATAAATCAATTTTTTCTTTTACTCTTTCACAACATATCAATTTGCACTGATTTTCTTCAAACAAATTTTTGCTGTTCTACTTTAAAAATAATTTTTGCTGAATGTCAGCTAAACTAACTAAATATTTGCATGAAGCATATTTTGACCTTTAACATATGAGAACAAGCACACTGTTTGATATTTTCGTTTACAGTGAGTACCTGGGGGCAGTCCTTAAGAAGCTGGGGCTGGAGTCTGAGGTTGTAGACCGCTCTACCATAAAGGACACCTTCCTCTTGGCACGGCTTGGTGTCAGCTGTAAAATGGATCAAAATGATGACAACTTGATGTAATATTCATACTCCAAATAAGCAGTAATTTTAATGAAATATTATCTTTTGTATTTTTACCTTATAAAAACACTTAATTGCACTGAATACATATACATACAGTGTACATGAATATGAAACTTAAAACTACAACCATTTAATACTTTCACATTGTACACTTATCAGTTATCACTCAATGTTTGCATAAAAAGTCTTTAAATTGGCTATGAAACTTGATGAAACAAACTTGTTTTTCAATCAATACCTCTGAATCCGAGAAGAATTCATCCTCTGAGACACGAGTTGGACTCTTTGTTTTTCTGGTTGGACTTCCAAATAGGTCTTTCTTTGGACTGGGGTGTGTTCTGTCAAACCAATAATAAATTAAACATAGGTTATTAAAAATTATGGAACTATCCTTGATTAATACTATCTTTAAGTAAGGCAAACTTTCACACCATGCACATGTTCTGGTGATGTGCATCCCTTAATGGTATGTAAATTTTGAATCTCCAGATTTCAACTCTTTATGTAACTTGTTCTGACACCTAATTTTGTCAGGAAAATATTTTTGTCACTCAGTACAGAAATGAATATTTATCTCTGAATGTAAGATAATGCAGTACGCAATGCAGAGATGTGTCTAAATCATGTTGAAAATAGTTCATTTTAGAGGTCAGATGTAAATATATTTTGCAACATAAACAAAATACATGGTCACTTTTTAGAAATATGTGACATTTGGGCGAGGGTAAGAAAACATGATGGAGGGTTCGGAAAGCCTCGCCCTCTATCACGTTTTCTTACCCTCGCCCAAAACTTACTTATATTTCTAGACAGCAGCCAAGTATTTTATATCTCCATACTTCTGAGGATGGTCCTGGTTAGGACTACAGTACAGGGCCTATAATTACCTGGTTAGGACTACAGTACAGGGCCTATAATTACCTGGTTAGGACTACAGTACAGGGCCTATAATTACCTGGTTAGGACTACAGTACAGGGCCTATAATTACCTGGTTAGGACTACAGTACAGAGCCTATAATTACCTGGTGAACTTCCCCGTGTTATAATCATTCTCCATACTTCTGAGGATGGTCCTGGCCTGGTTAGGACTACAGTACAGGGCCTCCTCCGCCATGGCAGCTGTCTCCTCTACCAGGTTACGTAAGTTCTCGTACGACTCTGTACCTCTACTGCTGGCCATCTTCAGGTTACTCTGCTTTTTGTCTATAAATAACAATAAAATAATAAATCTAAGGATTCAAAAAAAAAGTAGAAACAACATTTTATTACTTTATTGGCTTTATTCACTACAGTACTTGAGGCAAAGATGTGAAAAAAGAAATAGGAATTAATTTCCTACATTTACTACTATTGTTTATCAGATGTTATTACCATTGCACATATCAATTGTTTTTCTACTAAATAATAAAAACTTTATTGTAGATAGATATTTGCTGTACTATACCATCTGTTTCAGTCACTGGAACTAGGTCTGAAAAGGGATCTTTAGGAAGACCAAGATCTCTTCTATGTCTGGCTAGGTCTTCTCTCTGAAAATGATGTGTAAACACTGTAAACACTGTATACAAGTACCAGCACTTCACATCTAGGCCAATGAAGACCATAGACCAATGTTCTATGAATTCTGTCGATTTTGACTTATAATGACTTATAGTCTACAGTTTTTTGCCCTGCAAAGATTTATATTATGTGCTGTTTTTTCCCTGTAAAGACTAACTAACTCTGCTGTTTTTCAGCCTGTGAAGACTTACTGTCTCTGCTGTTTTTGTCTTAAGAAGACTTACTAGCTGTGCCGTTATTTTTGCCCTGAGAAAACTTAATATCTGTGGGGGGTTTTCTGTCCTAAGAAAACCTATTTTTTGCTGTTTTTTTGCTCCGAGAAGACCTACAATCTTTGTTGTTTTTTGCTCTGTGGAAACTAGGGATGTCAAAATATTTATTTTCCTTAGTCAAACATTCGTCTGCATTATTCGAACAATAGTCGACTATTCGGAGCAATTTTTGAAGAAAAAAAAATCTCATCGATAGCAGATTTATAAATCAAAAACCATTTTCGTAAATTTATGTAAAAAGTAACATTACTGTGTGCTACACACGATATTTAGATGAGCCTTACGTTGGGATAAGATGTAGAAATGAAATTGAATTTCACCAGCAATTGATTCTCCAAAATGTATGAATTTTCGTAAAATCACATTAAAAAATTGGTCTGATATTATATTATGTGACTTACTATCTGTGCTGTTATTTTTGCCCTGAGAAAACTTAATATCTGTGGGGGATTTTCTGTCCTAAGAAGACCTATTTTTTGCTGTTTTTTGCCCTGAGAAGACCTACTATCTTTGTTGTTTTTTTTTATCTGTTCATTCTTTCGTTCTAGTATGCTTAGAGAATTGTCAGCAATGTTTTTAAAGCTTATTTAAAATAAACTGGAAAAGGGGAGGAGCTTATTGCTTTAATAATTATCGAAGTTTCAAAACTTCGCAGCTATGCCGTGTTCCTATTGCATAATATAAACATTCTTAGAGGTAATAAATAAATTTATAATTGATACAAGTCCAATTAAAAATTTTCAAAATCCAGTAAAGTGCTGCATAATTGACTACAAAAACAGAAAGGTCAGTAATTACAAAATAATTATCGCGGTATGTAATTACTGTTCTTTCCGTGTAAACAATGTGGAAACTTATCTAAATACTGTGACTGCTCTTATTCATCTGAGGACGGATACTACAATGGTTTGAGAAATGACGCTTTACAATTTTGAGTGAGAATTCTTTAACACCCCCTTTTTTGCATTTATTAGATATTCGAATGTCATTTCATTATTCGATCGTCGGTCCATTCGACTGATAGTCGAATAGTCGACTATTCGTTGACATCCCTAGTGGAAACTTACCCTCTGTGCTGTTTTTGCCCTTGTTTTCTCTGTGCTGTATTTTGAATAACTATTTGTGCTGATGCTTTGACTTACTATCTGTGCTGATGCTTTGACTTACTATTTGTGCTGCTGATTTGACTTACTATCTGTGATGTGCTGTTGTTTTGACTTACTATCTTTGCTGTTGTTTTTACTTGCTGTGCTGCTGATTTGACTTACTATCTGTGCTGCTGATTTGACTTACTATCTGTGCTGCTGATTTGACTTACTATCTGTGCTGATGTTTTGACTTACTATCTGTGCTGATGTTTTGACTTACTATCTGTGCTGATGTTTTGACTTACTATCTGTGCTGATGTTTTGACTTACTATCTGTGCTGATGTTTTGACTTACTTACTGTGCTGATGTTTTGACTTACTATCTGTGCTGATGTTTTGACTTACTATCTGTGCTGATGTTTTGACTTACTATCTGTGCTGATGTTTTGACTTACTATCTGTGCTGATGTTTTGACTTACTATCTGTGCTGATGTTTTGACTTACTATCTGTGCTGCTGATTTGACTTACTATCTGTGCTGATGTTTTGACTTACTTTCTATGTGCTTATGTTTTGACTTACTATCTGTGCTGATGTTTTGACTTACTATCTGTGCTGCTGATTTTACTTACTATCTGTGCTGATGTTTTGACTTACTTACTGTGCTGATGTTTTGACTTACTATCTGTGCTGCTGATTTGACTTACTATCTGTGCTGATGTTTTGACTTACTATCTGTGCTGATGTTTTGACTTACTTACTGTGCTGATGTTTTGACTTACTATCTGTGCTGATGTTTTGACTTACTATCTGTGCTGATGTTTTGACTTACTATCTGTGCTGTTGTTTTGACTTACTATCTGTGCTGTTGTTTTGACTTACTATCTGTGCTGTTGTTTTGACTTACTATCTGTGCTGATGTTTTGACTTACTATCTGTGCTGATGTTTTGATTTACTATCTGTGCTGCTGATTTGACTTACTATCTGTGCTGATGTTTTGCCTGGTCTGTATCTATCTGACAGCAAATCTTTTTCTAGATTCTCTCCCTCTTTGATAAGTTCATTGGTAGAATCTATAAAACAGGGCATTTCAAAAATAACCATTGTATCAAACAAAACTCATACTTACCAACACTGAATAAAGAGCAGATATAAATATTAAAAAACAAAGATTTGAAAAAAAATACCATGAATATTTCAGATAAACAGAAACTTTATCATTTTGTTTTTTAAAACATCTCTCTGTAAAGGTTTCTGTGTTTTTGGAAGCTTGTAGGTACACCTTTAACTTTTATGAAGACTGTGAAGTAGCACATACACATGTATTAAGCTGACGTTAGGTTTATATTCTATCTAATCTATCATTCTGTTTTGTAACTTGTTCTTACTTTGGTCTGTGCTGACTGTGGGTTCTTTACATCCAGTTGAAGTGTCATTTACTGCAGCAATCAGGTCTTCAGTTTCACTCAAAGTTTTCTTTGGAGAAGGACTACTATTACATTAAAAAATTAAAATTTTACATTCTACAGCTTTAACTTCCAACAATTCTCTACTTGACATTGGCCTTTTCTTCCATTCTTGATCTTATTATAATTCAATAACTGCTTTAACAATTGACAATTCAAATTATAGAATAAAATATTTATACAGTATAGGCATTTAATTTTTTTCATACATACCTGATTTTAGAAGCTTTGGAGGGACTTAACAGTGTTTTCCTCCTGAGCTGAGACTTTGGGGATTTGAGGGGAGACCTCCTGACAGGACTACCTTTGGGGGTGATTCGTTCTGGACTCCCCTCCAGACTGTAGTTCTGCTGGAGCTCCCGTTCTAAGATTTTGTCAATCACTTCCGGATGTACAGCATCCGGATCTTCATCCAGTTCATCTGGATCACCTTCCCCTGAAAAAAAATATAAAAAAGTTCAAACTCTTTATCAGATAGATGTATTAGAAGCAGTTTGTAGCCTTTTATGCCCCATCTTACAAATATTTAACTTCAGTGTAAAAAAACTTGTAGTTACTGAAGTAATTTTCTCTGACATTGATGAACTTACCATCTGTTGAAACATCACTTTCTATTTTGTTCAAAATATACTCTAGAAGTCCTCCAAATATCTCTAGCAAGTTAAGGATGGACTCGCGATTTCCATCAATAGTGTCTCGTCCTGTGATGTGAGCGAGTGATGTGTGAAGAATATCTCGAGATAAGATATCTATTACTAACTGTACATTTTGTATCTCATCTTCCCTACTGACTGGCTTCTGTATGACACCTAAAACAACAGATATAAGTAAAAACAATGTCTGTGAAGTAAATACTAAATATGTATTTTAACAAAAAATAACCCTCATTCAACCTATGTACATGCTATTTTATGTATACAAACTGAGACCAATTACTATTTGGACATTGAACTTATATATTCAAACAGGACCATAACTTTTTAATTAGAGTTTATTTTACTAATTTTGATTTCCTTTCAACTATATTTCTCCCTTCTGTAGTAATGTTCTAAAGAAAACCGGGATAATATACATTTTACCATAGAAAATAGAGCTGTGAAATTTTCACTATAAATTAAGCATACAAAGAGCCATAATTCAGACAGACAAGTTCTGGGTGTCAGTTCCTGGTTTCTGTTTCACTCACCCTGTAACTTCTCCCCACAGAGACCTTCAAACAACGTGACATACACAGCGGCGTTAATGTCCTCCACACAACTCAGACTGCTGCCCGCATTCAGCTGTTCCAGGAGGAGATTCGCCTGACGCACAATTTCTGTTACAATAAAGTTTTATACACATAAACATTAACTGTGTTCCGCATCAGTAGAACTCAAAAGTAACTTATACAAAATTCAAAAAAATGAACAAAAACTTTTTTTTTAATTTCATGAACTAGGTTATTGTAACAACTGTAAACTATAGTTTACTGAAAATTAACTGTTTTTAATAATTAGCACCAATTACATGCATTATGAACTTATTTATGAAATACACTGTAGTTTATACTTTAAATTTATCAATCTCTGAATTCAAGTTCAAAGTTATAATAATTCAAAAACTACATTTCTTCCACATTTAATTTGATATGCCATAGGTCAAAACCTAAATTCAGAGGTTTGCTTACTTATGTCCTCTTGGCTAAGTCTTTCTTTTGGTCCCATTTTCTGGAAGAAAAAAATTAACTAACTACCTTACGTTTTTAAACTTATTTTAATTTAAAGTAAACAACACCATGCTCTTGCAATGATTAATTAAGGAATGAATTTAATAGCTACCCATTATATATGGTATAAACTGGGTTGGGGCAGTTTACGCTTTATAATTGCAAAGCGGAATCTCTTAAGTGGTATGGGAGGACTTCCTAAATTAAGTAAATTTCCACTTTGTGGGTGTAAGACTAACCCTTAGGGATGGGTATCGCCACAAATTTCGTATCGCGATATATCACGATTTTTTCCCACAATATCACGATAATATCATGATATTTTTAAAAGCAGTTTTTACAATGCTTTTACATGAAAAGTCATTATTTTTCTATAAAATACGCTAGAAAAAACAAAACTTTTACTTTCTTGAAATTTTATGTATATAAAATTAAGTAAATTTACAACATTTTTTATACTTTGTGAAAGGTGTAAAGACCGGTATTTACCCGATACGTATACGATATACCGGTATACCGATAAAATCGCACATCCCTACTAACCCTACATGTAACTCTTATCAGAAAAGTATTGTTCGACATGTTCGAAACTTCCTCAAACAGCTGCACAGTGGAATGATGTTAATTTTACATCAAAGTGCAATGAGCACGCAGATTTAAGGGGTTGTATGGAAATGCCCCCCCCCCCCCCCTCCAAATAGCTTAATCAAATTTTTGACAATATTGCTTCTTTAAAGTTAATCAATGATGAATGAAGATTGTGCCAGTCCTGGTAGTGGTATTTTGCAGAATTGGTACCTTAAAATATTCGATTAAACAATCAATAAAGCACAAAATTTAGAATTTCTAAGCCTAGATAGAATGGTACACCAGTACTTAGGCTATCGTGGTCGTGTCAATGCGAACTCGTCCCCACTTGTTTCAGGGAAGCGGCAGTGCATTAAAAATTTACTAAATCCATCTAATATAAGTACTTTTACGGTATATCTTATTTAAAAGGAAGGAGTTATAAAATGCAAACCTTTACAAAATGCAGATCTAATACTTCATTGCACTAGTAAATCAAAAATAAGTTGAAACATGTTCCAAATATTGTAAACACTGACACAGCGACCTCTAGCGGCAGCTACAACAAACAATAAGTTTAAAACCATCACAGTGAACAATTTATATCCGCATTTCTTTCTTTCTTTATTTATTCATTTATTTTAAATTATTATTTTTTATTTTGTTTTTGCATGTTTCTTTTGATTTTTTGGTCTGGAATTTTCTTTAATGGTTTTCTTTTGTTTTGTCGTTGAGAGAGATATTGTCTCAAAAATTTAACTCATTAAGGGAGGGGTTTTGGGGCAAGCAACCCCCCGTTGGCTTTGCTAAAAAGAGAGAAAGAAGAGAGTCCCCTTTTTGTTGTGTTTATTAACTATAGAAAATGTTCAGAGAAAGGCTAATGTAGTAATATATGAAGAAAGTTGGTTGTGAAAACATAATAGAACTTGACCTCCCCCTCATTTTTACAAAGTAGGATTTTCGGGTAAAAAGATTTATTTCCTTTCTTTGAGAAAAACTTTCAGGTATTAATCCATATTTTTTCCCAGGCCCCAACTTTAAAAAACGGAATCACATCCCATTAAGTTGTTTACAATAAATTATGTAAACGTATGTTATATTTCAAACACTTTTTCTCCTCACCAGGGCCCTCCCTCTTCAGTACCCCCTTTCTAGATTCTAGATCCACGCCTGTAATTAATTTGTTGAAAAGGAAATTACAAAACTCATAATGCCTTAATTGGTACATACTTGGGGCGTCACGAGAAAAGACTTACTAGGAGTAGACTTACTACCCCCTTTTTTCTATTCAGAGATATAAGAGCTGACTGAGATTAGCTACTTTCAAAATTGTCTTTATAGAATTTATAGTATTCCGAAGGAATTCCTAAATTACAGATAGCAAAGGTCCAAAATATTTTACAAAAGCGAACCGGGGCTAAGCCCCCTCCTACTTTTTTTGTAAAGATAGACGTATTGAGGCGTAGGTTTAGCCCCCCCCCCCCCCTTCAACAGGTCAAAAGGTAATGGTGTTGGCGTTTTAAAAAATGGTATTGAAAGAAGCTCGGGAAATGCTTAACTGTGGACATGCAGAAACTTAACTCCACTCCAGCATGCCCATTTGGTGGGATACACCAAGTGCTGTTCTTAATTTAGAAGTACACGTTCATGTATATTCAAGTATCAATTAAAACAATGAAGAGAGTGAGCCAAAGAATTAAAAGAATTTAACAATTTTAGCAATATTTTTCCTCGATTAAAATTTTTATTCTCACCGATTCTTCCATTATGCATCTATCTGAAGAGCACTATATATGTAATTCTTATAATAGAAATATTTCGGATAATTTTTTTTTTTTTAGATAAGATTTTATTGATCTTTCGTGAACCCTGTGACATTCGAATCACAGCCGGTTGTTTTCACTTTTTATTAATGGTATTTTTATTCTTGTAATTGAAATTGATTAGTAGTTTATTCTGGGTACTATACATGTGTGTTTATTATATGAAGGACCTTCATTTGAATTTTTACTTTTATTACATTAATTTTCTATTACCTACACAGGGAAATACCAGCGATCTATTAAAAGCCCGTATCAAAGGTATGTTCCAGATTCTATTAATAGCATTATTACAATACTGAAAGGTAAGACGGGATTTCACGACAGTTTCGGTTGTACAAGTGAACAGGTAGATCTGTACAAAGAAAGTGAAGACGTCCAACATGGCATCAACCACGGAATGCTATTTGTTGATTCTTTGGTTATGTCTGGCATTTTGTGGTAAGTATAATTTACTAGTTCCATATTTGCAGTTTGTATACATCATACTGAGCTGTCATACATATATACATGTACGTATATGTATGTATACAATGTAGTTTCGCTTCAATTCAGTTGAACAAATGGTTAAACATTAACATAAAATTTAATAAAAGTAGTTTCGCTTTGAACTACGTAGAGGAAACAAATCTTTTAAAATAATTCATACGTGCAATTAAATAAATTTAAGAAAGAATTTAGCTTTTCATCATGCAAACATTTACTTAGAGAGATCGATGTGGTGATAAGGATTTTTTTCCGCCACAGACAACCTTAAAAAAAAAGTTGCTTAAGTGGAGTTGTTATTTAGCTATCAAATAATTTATGTGTTACCCCAAAGTTACTATGTCTAGTATGAGAACGCATGAAAGTTATACTTCAAAAATAGAAAGAAAATGCTTATATATGCAAGCACGAAGTATTATTTTTGAAAGAAAAAACTTTGATAAACAGAAAAAAAGAAAGTTATCCAAACTTGAAAATATCCCATTTTCTTGTGTGTGGTTATGGTGATAGTGGTGGTGTTGTGGGGGGGGGGGGGGGTTAATTCGACTTCTTTTATAACCAAATTTTCTTCATGTATTACTACATTATCCTTTGATTAATTTGACTATGCTATAACAAAAGTTGGGGGAGGACGGCAGCCTCCCCCCGAATCATACGTGCATGTTATGAAATTAAGAATAAAATCACTGTAATTATTGCAAGGTTATTCTACATTATTAATGAAGCGCATTTTAATATAGCGGGTCAAGATACTGCCTCGACGACTGAAACTGCCCCCACCCCAGAAATGTCCCCTCCCGACCTCCTGCTGCCCATCGTCGTCCCTGTGGCGGTGACAGTGCTGTGTACAGTCATCATTATTGTCGTCATCATCATCTACCTCCGTAAATGTCATCATACAGGGGGAGACAGAGTCTCTGATGGTAAGAGCGCTACGTCATAAAACAGATCTTCAATGTTCCAGATTGTTTATTTTGAAAAATACACAGTTCATCAGGAAAAATAAACTGATAATGTCATGGTTTTAATTCTTGAAGATTTTATTTAAATCTCTCTCTCTCTCCCACTCACTCTCTCTCTCTCTCTCTCTCTCTCTCTCTCTGAAAGAGAGATTGTATTATACACATAATAAGTAAAATTAAATTGTATTTTTAGCGGAGACAGGCAAAAAGACGGACAAAAAGACAGACAAACCCAGCCGTTTTGAGATGGGACTCCTGAGCACGGCTTCCACAGATCGAGGTAGAGTACAGTAATACACGCTGGTCCTCAGGGATGATCTGTCAGATAGACCGACCTACCCAATAACTCGTAAACAACACATAAAACATCACAACCTAATGTAACAAGATAATGGAAAATTTAATGTATTTTCTTGATTTTATCATGACCTTTGTCATTGTATTTATTATGTCTAATGTCTTGGTTGGGGGGGGGGGGTTACCTTCATATTGTATTCTATAAATCAGTGCATCGCGTACATGTATAATGATATTGTCAGTAATATTCCCCGAACGCATCCTATGTTATGTTAATATAAACAGCTTTTAATAACTATTTTTAAATTTACAGAAGCAGAGTCTGTCCTGAATGGAGGTAATTAAAACCGTTTAATATTACTAGTATCTATCATAAACACACACTATTCTTTCTTTCTATGAATACCGTGATGATTGATTTCTATTCTCAATACTAGTATACATACAACTCACCTGTGTAAAGTGGAAGTTATGTGAATGAATTTTCCTTTATTAGCAAAAGAACAACTGAGAGAGATTAAAAGTCTTGAGAAAAACCTGGCCCTTTCTGTAAAAGGTATGCAACATGTGTATGGATCTGACACAAACTCTGAATTCTTCATTCTATTTTTCCTCCACTTACAAAAGAATGACAAGTAGCTAGCTAATGCAGCATTAGAATAAAACCACACAATTGTGCATTATTTGTGACAATATAAAGTTCATACGTAATTTATACATAGAAACACATGTCATTACAAAAAATCTCTCTTTTTTAATAAAACCAATTTTTTAAAGATATTATATGTAAATTATTCAATTTCATTACAAAAATGTTTCAATTACTCTCTTTTAATTGTTTTTTTTCTCATTTAGAATTCAAGAGTCTGATGTGGCATGGTAAGATATGTAACCAATTTTATATTAGTACAACAGCATACTTATACATGTATACAATGTACATAAGTATTTTATTGCTACATAATAAATAAAAAAAAGCAACATGTCCACGTGTCTAATTTGATATTCACAGATACTTTTTGGTTTTTGTTTTCTAGCCAACTCAGTTTTGAAGCTAATAGGTAAGCCTATTTAAAGTTTCAGTATAAATGCATTTTTATAATTGTTTGTTTTGGGGTTTTTGAAAAAACTTTTTTTTTCTAATTGTAATTTTACTAATTGCACACAGATGAGGGAATTGATGAAGAGAGTGAACCTAAAACCCTGAAAGATGAACTGTTTGAAGAAGTGAACAAGAGAGGTGAGATCAATCATTGATTGTACAGTTATATTTATACACTGATTATAACAAGAGACCTAACAATGTTATATCTCTTTACATTTATAATCTTGTTATATACAGTGGCTAAAGATCCCAATGATAAACCAGACGAAGAAGAAGAGGAGTCAAAGAAAAGGAGGATTGAAAGTGTCAGAGAAAAACAAAACAGACTGTTTACAGGTATGTTACAAGTAGGGGACAGTCAAGCTATATTGCAGGTACTTGACCAGTACTGGCCAAACTATTAATAATTAAGTACCTGACAAACACTGGACAGACTGTTTACAGATTCATGACTAGTATTGGACAGCCAGTTTAAAGGTAAATGACTAACAACAGACAGACTGTATAGGTATGTGGCTATCAATAGACACTGACTGTTTATAGGTACCTAACAATTACTGGACAGACAGTTTACAGGTACCTGACTATTACTGGACAGACTGTTTACAGGTACCTGATTATTACCGGACAGAGAGTTTACAGGTACCTGACTATTATTGGACAGACGGTTTACAGGTACCTGACTATTATTGGACAGACAGTTTACAGATACCTGACTATTATTGGACAGACAGTTTACAGGTACCTGACTATTACTGGACAGACAGTTTACAGATACCTGACTATTATTGGACAGACAGTTTACAGGTACCTGACTATTACTGGACATACAGTTTACAGGTACCTGACTATTACTGGACAGACAGTTTACAGGTACCTGACTATTATTGGACAGACAGTTTACAGGTACCTGACTATTATTAGATAGACAGTTTACAGATACCTGACTATTATTGGACAGACAGTTTACAGGTACCTGACTATTACTGGAAAGACAGTTTACAGATACCTGACTATTATTGGACAGACAGTTTACAGGTACCTGACTATTATTGGACAGACAGTTTACAGATACCTGACTATTATTGGACAGACAGTTTACAGATACCTGACTATTATTGGACAGACAGTTTACAGGTACCTGACTATAATTGGACAGACAAATTACAGGTACCTGATCATTACCGGACAGACAGTTTACAGGTACCTGGCTATTATTGGACAGACATACAGGTACCTGACTATTATTAGACAAACAGTTTACAGGTACCTGACTATTATTGGACAGACAGTTATCAGGTACCTGACTATTACTGGACAGACAGTTTACAGGTACCTGACTATTATTGGACAGACAGTTTACAGATACCTGACTATTATTGGACAGACAGTTTACAGATACCTGACTATTATTGGACAGACAGTTTACAGATACCTGACTATTATTGGACAGACAGTTTACAGGTACCTGACTATAATTGGACAGACAGATTACAGGTACCTGATCATTACCGGACAGACAATTTACTGGTACCTGGCTATTATTGGACAGACATACAGGTACCTGACTATTATTAGACAAACAGTTTACAGGTACCTGACTATTATTGGACAGACAGTTATCAGGTACCTGATTATTACCGGACAGACAGTTTACAGGTACCTGACTATTATTGGACAGACAGTTTACAGATACCTGACTATTATTGGACAGACAGTTTACATGTACCTGACTATTATTAGATAGACAGTTTACAGATACCTGACTTTTATTGAACAGACAGTTTACAGGTACCTGATTATTACTGGACAGACAGTTTACAGATACCTGACTATTATTAGACAGACAGTTTACAGATACCTGACTTTTATTGGACATACAGTTTACAGGTACCTGACTATTACTGGACAGACTGTTTACAGGTACCTGACTATTATTGGACAGACAGTTTACAGATACCTATTATTGGACAGACAGTTTACAGATACCTGACTATTATTGGACAGACAGTTTACAGGTACCTGACTATTATTGGACACACAGTTTACAGATACCTGACTTTTATTGGACAGACTGTTTACAGGTTCTTTACAAATGCTATAGGCACTTGAAAGCCTATTTAGAAATACTTGACTAGTACTCAACAGAGTTTTTTCAGGAACATGACAATTACTGGACAGCATGTATACAACCATGACTTATTCTAGACAGACTGTTTACAGGTTTACAGGTACTTGACTAACACTGGACAGACATTATACAAGTACATGGCTATTACTGGACAGACTGTTTACAGACACCTGACTATTACTGGACAGTCAGGTTGCATGTTCTTGACTGGTACTTTTACTAGACAGACTGTTTACAGGTACCTGATTATTATTAGATGGACAGTTTACAGATACCTGACTATTACTGGACAGTCAGGTTACATGTTCTTGACTGGTACTTATACTAGACAGACAGTAAGACTGTTTACAACCATGGCTCATTAAGAGACTGTTTACAAGGTACTTGATTAGTATGGAGCTGACAGTTTACAGATGGAACAGGCACATTGAGTGTTGTTGTCCCTGCAGAATAATTTTTGAAATTAATGAACATTTTTTTTATCATTGATAAATCTAATCAACAAAGAAGAGCATATTACGAAATAACAGGAAGTGAACTTTTTCCAAATTAATAATACTTTCATGTTTAATTTTGATGTAAGGTATGAAAAAGGTCATGTTAATACATTGTAATACAGTATCATTTTGAACAACCATAATGCATAGTCACATTTTATTTCATTTTATTTTTTTTGCAGAAACGCACAAAGTTCTCAATGAAGGTAATTTTCTGTTTATAGATTTACTAGAAATCTTATCATTCATATGATTTATATGTTGTATATAAAATGCCTATAATTGTATAATACATTTAAGTACGCATTTTCAGTAAAATGGAACAAAAATAGGCAAAAATCTCTCTTCTCAATAGAAATTGCTTAATAAAGTGACATTTTTATGCTTTTTTATATACATATGTATATAAGTTGTATACATCTCAAGAACTAACTTAACTATTTTTTTTTCATATTTACCCTACGTAATGGTGTTTCTAAGAACTGAAAATTTAATGAAATTAATAGTATGCTTATTCTATTTTGAATGATTTGAAGATATTGTGTTTATTGCTGATAACTTAGTTGATCTGACAATTCATGTGTCATAAGTTCTCTTTTTTTAAAATTAGGCAAAAAATATATCAAGGAAGCAAACCAGAAAGACATAGAAATCAGAAACTTCACGAAAGGTAACTGCATGGTGTATGTTTAGTTCTTCTTAAATTGTCCCTCACTAAGAAAAGCAAAACAAATAAATTGTACAAAGAATCTCTGTTTTTTTAACACAGTTTAAAAATATCAATTGTACACTAATTTTATAGAATGAATTGTAACTGAGAACATTTCCTGTTATTTTTTTTAGATGCAAAGAAAGCTTTAACCCAAGGTTGGTAGAAAATTATATTTAACCAAAAATTATAAATATCACAAGAGCATTACAATCTGAATGTGTTTAACACTTGTCTTATTTCCCGTTTCAGTGAAGGACCGTGTTCGAGACATGAGGAAGTCCACAGGTATTAATTGTTACTGATTCAATGTAACCTCAATATTTTGAACCGAAAGAAATCGTTGTATCTAAGCTTTCTTCTGTTGTTTTACCCCATATTTTACGGTCTTACACGGAAATAAACGCGTATATAAGGTCAAAATCTGCAAATACCTTCAGTAATAAATCATTCAGCAGTTTATGCAACATGACATGACAACTTGTATGACAATATTTTTTTTAAATGAAATAGTTATCTTTTTATTGTTTTGTTCAATGCTTCAATGTTAATGTTGTGTTGATTTAGGATATTTATTTATCAATTTTTAATCTACATGCAGTACAACTGAGCAATTTTCATGATTCGAACCTCAGCTGGTTACAAATTTTGGAATTAATGAAACGTTTCAAGAGAAGTTGTAGAAATTCTTGGCTTTCATGATTGTTTACTAACGTCGAATACCGTTTGATATCCACAGCGAAAATTTCGGTGGTAAATATACTGAACGTGACACAGGCCCTGTCACACCAAGCTGCGTCCACACAGAGTCATTGTAAAAATTTTTAATCGCCGTGGAATCACAGGGAAATTGCACAAATTTCTGTAAAATTTTCACAATGTGAAGATGTCACGGCGTCCCTACGGCGACTGACGCGTTTCTACGGCGTTCTCGCGGCGTTCTACTGTGTTCCCACGGAGATCTCTTCGCGATTGACTCCGCTTCCGCGGAGTTTTCACAACGTGTTAGGAGTTTGCATCTCGTGTTCACGGCGTTCTCACTGCGGTGGCTGCGTTCACAAATACGTTCACAATGGGTTCTTCACCCATGGATATATATATATTCATCAGGAGTGTAAAACATTCATAATTAAAGATTCAAGCTACATAATGAAAAGACCTACTTTCATGACAAGAAATATAACTCTTAATTAAAAATGATCTATTTGAAAATTTAGTACTAAATTATTAATAGTTTTTTTTTTATTAAAATCCTTTTTTCAATTTTATCGATTCAGATGTGTTGTTTTATTTGTATTTTCATTGATTTCATTATGAATGTTAAAAAAATAAACATACTGAAAAGTTGCTACAAATTTTAAATTATTCCACCGAAACACCACTGAAACAACAGAACAAGTCCTGGTGTAATTAATATCTCTTCCCAATTTTATTTTAATGCTCCCAGTGCAACAAATACGTTAGAATTATAGTTGATCAAATATAAGGCTATTGCTCTTGTTTTGTGAGCTGGCTGACAACGCCGTGAAAGCGCAAATGTGATCGCCAACGGACGCTGTACATGTAGAAACGCCAAGGGAGCGCAATGATCGCAGTGACATCTCCGTGTTGTTGTGTAATCGCAGTGGACTCCACGACGTCTCCGTGAGGTCTCCGTGGAAGCGCAGTCTACTATCAATGCGTTCATGCTGCGATCATGTGCGTCTTCACGGCGTTCATACGGAGCTCCCACTGCGTTGCTGGAGATCTCACCGCGCTGCTACGGCGATCATATTACGCTTCTATTGCGTTCTTTTCAGACCGCGATATCACACGGCGCTTACATTAATAGTGCATGCCCAAAGTGATCGCGGTCCCCTGGCGTTCTAGGAGACCCTAGCACCCCTACTAATGTTATTGTGATTTAAATTCAAGACACGTGGTTTAGTTTGATCTATTTAAAGGTTATAGGGTAGAACCGGTTTTATAAATAAAATTGGCAGTAAACATGATATTGCTATAGCCTGTTTCTTTTGAAAACATGTCCTGTAATAAATGTTTCCAGACCTTTCTGAAAGACTTTCATGATTTTCAACAGAAAAAGGGTGGCTAAAGGAGGGGGTGTTAAAATAACAATATATCTTATACTTTTCGGCGAAAATTAGAGCTCACTAGTGACCGATTCGCTGGTAAAAAATGTGCATTATCATCTACACTGAGTGTAGACCTTTGTTTGCCTTTTATGGCTATTGTTATAAATGCGCACAGAGGATCTTACCACGAGAACTGACCAATCGTTGAATGAATATCAACGTTTACGCCAAATACATGTTTACATTTTACTTCGAACGCGTAGTTCAGGTTAATCTACGATCATGTTAATGGACTGCAAAATAAAAAAGAAATGTTCTTACGAAAAAAATACAAAGATAAGAAACTTTAAAAGATGTTACGGGTGTTTTTAATTTGTTGTTAAATGGAAAAATGTTTAATAAAGTGTAGTTTGTGTCTAGTTCAGAACACCAGCGCTTCAAGGGTAAGGAAAACCACAGGTACCAAACTCGCTTGAATATTTGACCCCCTAATATTTATAATATACTAGGGGGTCAAAAATTCATGCGAGTTTGGTTTCTGTGAGGAAAACGAGCAGCATCTCTTATGCATTTAAATGGACGAAACTTTGTTTACGTTCGTGATCACGTGTTCGGCTAGGGAACTCACCTGGCAATTGTATTCACCGATAGTACAACAAAGGAATATTAATACAGACGAAATCACTTTATTTGCAGTATGACTTTCAGAAACCTTGACTTCCCCCGTTTATTTAATAAATGAATTGTTTGTCATTATGAGCATGAAAATAATATTTGTAAAAATTGCTTTTCATTTACCATACGATTTTCCTTTTCTTCAAGCGTAAAATTCCTGTAGTATTCGTAGTAACCCATAATGCAATACTCATTCAGCTGATTGGTCAGTTAAAATCATGCATGTGCCTCATTTGCTAATCTGACGCCAAAAAATATAGTCCCGGTTCCCATGCAAAAATATTTGTCCAAAAAGAAATTTTAATTCATAACAGCAGAAAATTGTACCATAGAGAATACTTATTTAAGTTTGAATGAATGTAAAAGAGATCGATTGATTGAAGTACATTTCTACAGACATTATCAGCTTATTCTAGGGAGGTGAAAATTGAAACGCACCATAACTTTTCTGTTTACAATGCCTCCACGTGCTAGTCACTTCCTATCCACATTTCCGTGAATAATTTACCCTATCTCGCTGAAGTCTCGCTAACTCTCGCCAGAGACACTGCCAGATCTACTCTGAACTCATCGGGTTTTATAATTTGCAGAACTCCGAAAAATAGAAGGTTCCGAACACATTAGTAGGGGTGCCTAGGACCGCGTTCAGTGGAGATCTCGCCGCGTTGTCACGGCGCTGTAGAAGACTCTACTGCGATCACCCCGGCGTTTTGCATTTTTTATGGACGCTGTGTGATCGCAGTGAGGACGCAGTCCCCCTGTGACTGGGGTTTTACACAAAATTCCTATCCATCTGCACAAAAAAGCAACATTTTAAAAGAACATATCGAATATCATTCAGCATCTTCACAAGCCAAGGATTTCTAAGCTACTCTGATAATGAGGAGATCGAGTAGTATATCAGAAACCTTGGCTTGCGGAGATGATCATTCAGTGAAGGGCAATATTTAAGCATCGCTTCTAATTATCCAATGCTATAACACTAGGTATCTGATATGTTCAGGTTACTGTTGAAATACATACAAACCCCTCCCCTTTGTTTAATAATTGATAGTTATGCTAGTATATTGCATGAAACACATGAAAGACCTTCATATCCCGTGCACCATTCCTGAACACATTTAGCATACGAGCAAGTAAATAGAATGGACCCGTTTTGTGGCGAGGACTTGTATTTTAACTAACAAGCAAGTAGAGTAGAAAACGCAGGACGAGGCGCGATACAACATAGCAACCAAAACATACTAGTACACAACAATAAATTAATACATGTATATTGTTTAAAGAGACATTAATAAAACTAATGATAAATGAATTGAAGTTTATTATTCATCTATGATTTTTAGATAAAAAGAAGGACGTGAAACACGGAAAACTGGGAACTGGGTATGTATGATATAAAACGGTCTAAGTAACTGTATGATATAAAACGGTCTAAGTAACTGTATGATATAAAACGGTCTAAGTAACTGCTATATAGTATGATATAAAACGGTCTTAGAAGTAACTGCTATACATGTGTGTATTTCTGAAGAAGAGTATGTTCTTGGTAACTGATTTGGGGGTCTTTTCCAGAGAAGAGAAGAAGCCTTTACTGGAGAAAAAGTGATTGAAATGGATCTTAGTTTCTGAACCAGCTTCGACCATTGTGTTCCGTGCTATTACTGACATTTAATGAATCAACAAGCCATTCATAATCAACAGTGTAAATGATTTCGGCTCAAAACTCTACATATTTGCTCTACTCTTAATTTATATAGTTTATTTATTAATATGTGATCCATCTCACAGTTCAATAGTACAAAGTTGAGTAGACCAAGGTGCTAGTATGTTTGAAAAATGTAGGAATATCTTTCCAGGAAGATTGAAATACATGTGTGCTTTATTTGCCTCGTTTTCACGTAGGCTCCCCACTCTCAAAGTACTGAAGTATTCAGTAAATGTAACCCGAAACTAATCAGAAATCAAAATAATACATGTATTTAATTAGGACTTTGCTGAGGGGAAATTAAAGATAAAAAAGCATTGCTAGTCTTGTTACACATCGATGAACAATAGATGAAACACACACACACACACACACACACCCTCACACACACACACACACCCTCACACACACACACACACACACACACACACACACACACACACACACACACCCTCACACACACACACACACACACACAACCTAGCCATTATTTGATGTGAAATAAAAATAACTTTTTATAATATTCTTGCGTTTCCATGATTATACGTTATATGTGTCATTTTGAATTTTCGCAAATAATCCAATGTACATGTCGTACTATGCTTTTCTACATGTATTTATCATTGCACAGCGTATGTCTAGCAGTGAGGAACTGCACTTTGATGTGAATATATGTATATGTATTGAAAAGACCATAATCGTTGGCATTTGTGTTATGTTTGAAGGTTGCGTCTTCAAAAATCGCAGTATCTTGGTTGCAAGAAAATGTATTGAAGAGGTTGTATTTTTAAAGCTTTTTGAAATAATTGCCTTTCATTGTATATGCTATACATGTATATATATAGTTTTTAAATTAATAAAGAATTATGACTGCTTGGCCATGTTGTTTGTTGATTGTTTCAGGTTTATCCATTGTGTTTGTATTTAAAAAGACTACTTATCTTTATTTTGTGCTATGTATTAATTAAAACGCGCGGCCATCTTTAAAAATATACAGTACTTGCTTGTCCTCTCCCAATGTAGAATAAAAATATTGGGTCGGGTCGTACTCCTACGTCTTTATATCAAATAAATGTTTGAGTTTCTATTTGACAATATCTGTGTAGTTTTTCAAGATCGTCTTGATCCAACAATTTGTCCGAGATTCAATGGGTACCAATTGCTCTCCGTTTTAGCAAACCTATTTATGTATTCATATGAAGCGGAATATAATTTCAAAAAAATATATGCATGGAAAGAATCATCTGCTGTTCAACTCGAAATTAAAATAGAGTGAAGACGTAATTATCAATTAACAAAAGTTCAAGTACATGTATAAGTCGACTCGATATATACCAATGAACTTAGAACTTAGAAGATACTAGAGGGACTGACACTCTGCATATTTCATATGGATAGTTTACTCATAAAAAGACGCTAATTAATGGTAACATTACAACAACAACAAAATTGACAATAAATGCAATGGCTTCAATTTTTCTACTGCCTGCTTCCCATATCTATATATGTAGCAAATGTAAATTTACCACACACATGTGGGGTTTATTTCTCTTTGTTAATTGACTACGTAGGAACATGCTCTTCGTACGAACATTTCGAACAAAAGCAACACAAGCTATTGAAAGCTATTGAAAATAGATGAAACAAGAATTTCAACGATTTCATTTAAAGTCCACATTTTGCGAGTTATATAGCCGATATTATATAGAGATAACGAATAAAATTCGAGCATAAAGGTAAAAAAAGTTAAAAGAATTCAAATCGAGAGCAAATCAAACTGGGACCTCTAAAACATCATATATTGGATCAGTTGCCATGGAGGAGAGAGCATCCCCTGCCGACCGGTCACACCCGCCCTGTGCTCCTTGTCATGATCGGGAAATAACGGGGTACTTGGAGATCTCAGTTTGTAAATAATGGCCTAGCAGTTAACATAAAAACGTTCATCAGCAACCGCCTTCATGATAGAATGCATTAGCTAACATGGTCATTGTATCGACCATAGAACTTGCTAAATGAAGACGTCAACCGAGACTTGATATTTTTGTTTCATCAACTTGTTTGCCAATAAATTACTTCGATTCAGAAATTATACATGTAAAGAGCATGCTCTTGCGTGTCGAATTGGCTGAGAGATATGCCCCTTACCAAACGCAGGTGATATGGGTATATATTGTTACAGAAGTGACAGAAGCTGACGATTGGACAACTGAACTTTTTGCATTATTCATAAAGCTTTGTTGTTAAGTTACCAGTACAATTATATCATAACGTCCTTTTCTAGTAAAATAAAATGTATCAGAATTTGTAACCTTTTATTTCAAGCTCACTAGGATATATCGTGTCGACATATAAATGAAAATATTTCCATTTCCAATTGTTTTCCCTATGATAAACAGTACAAAAGTGAATCTTGTTTATTTCTCTGTGATTCCTGTGGCATGTAAATTTCTCTGTAGATTGAAATACTACTGAAAGGTCAAATGTCAAACTTGCATGTATATGATTGGCGTATAAATATATTGAAAAAACGATGTTTTGTTTAATTGTTTACTAAGTAATTTGATATGATAAATCTTTTTACAAACAAAATAAATAATGAACTATCTTCGGATCAAAAGCAAGTCACTTGTGCAACGCTGTCCATTATCACCGAGGCCTCGCCAGACCGAGAACTTCACTTCCGTAAACATGTAAATCTGAACCACGTGGAGAAATCAGCATTGCCACATAGATCATCCGATACAGACATCGTCCCTCAGTCATTACCATCCAACTTCTTACGCAATTCAACGTCCTCTGTTATTTTAACACACACAATTCTGTTTCCTGACCATGCTGACCAACTCCTGTTTCATCAACTGCAACATTGCATTCAATATGGCGGCGGAGAAGTGACCTGGTGCCTATACAGGTGTTCCTGCTCCGACAACCTAAATCTAGATATATAATTCAAGTTAGCAAGATTGCTTTGATCGTAATATAATTTTTTTTTGTTTATTTTATAAATGTTGTTATTTGACTGCAGTATAATTTAATAATCATTACGATTATTTCGTGTTTGTATGGGGCTATTTTTATAGTAAAATTTGACGTCACAGGTCGGCCAATGGAAAATAACATGAAATGTCTTGTGTATTTCCAATCTGCTAAATTGGACGATTACAAAAACAAATAAAAATGAAAATATAAGGAATCACTGCCTAGTTTTGAGAGTACCAGGGACATCAACAATAGTGGGAAACATGGGATAATTTTAGCATAACGGGCTTCGCGATTTCAATTAAACGTTATGCAAAAATAAAGCGTTATCCCGATGTATATCAATCATGAAAGAAAATTGGGATATGGGGCTTGGCTGTGATTGTGCGTACGATACTCAATCAATAAGTATTTTTTTTAATTAACCCGATTAAACTCCGTAAAATAGTTAATACCATCTCTTAATGTTTATTTCATTTCATTTCATATACAATAAATTGATTTTTGATCAAAGCGCAGCATTTTTTTTTTATTCTGAAAATTTTATTTTACTCTCAATGGTCTTCATTACAATTTGTGACGATATAAATATTGTTTTTCTTCTTTAATTAAAGTAACTACTGTTCATAAATAATACATCGTCGATATATGTATATCGATACAATGACCTTATCAGCAAATACATACCTCCGGGATTCTTGGAAATACCAGTATATTTGCACTGTAAACGTTTCGAAATATGGTCTATGAAAAGGGGTATTCAAAAATTGCCTAAAAATCTACATTTAAATACGCTTTACATATGAAACTTTTAAAATCAAGTATCATTACAATGTTTCCGCATTTCCTCGAATCAAAACAAGTATCATTAAGTAGAATGCTGATTGATGTTTTCACATCAATTTGTTAGGCCATTATTTTCACATGAAAATGATTTTGCTTCTGCTAGGTCATGACAAGGAACACATTGCGGTACATAGATACTTGGACTGAACCCATGTCTTAATTGTAAATATCTGGAGAAAAGCGACTGACGCCTATGTTTAAATGACCTAAGTTAGGTAACAGACGCAAAACAGATTTCAATTTGTGTGTAGTCCAAAAATTTAACAAGTACCTCAAAGCTAATCCTATCGGATCATATTATAAATCTCTGTCCTCAGTTAAATTTAAAGAGTCCTTAATATGATCAGTTAGTTCTCTTTACACTCTGAATAAAGATTTACATTGGAGCTGAGTTTGCTAGACAGCGATAGTCCCTCGTATTCCTCTTAGGATAATCAAGAGCATGTGAGAAATATCCAATAGGAAACAGCTTCTGGTGTTAAAGGACAAAACATGGGACGGGGGTATCCATACTGCGCAATTCTGTACTTTATATTCGGTAAGTGTGTAGACAAAAAGTGAACTTTTATAGATTATTCTCTTCGGAGAGGGAGAGAGATATCGAGAGAGAGTTCAGCACAATTTCGAAGAATCCATCCAGTGCATACTGCATCATTACAGACCAATTCTTTTCTTTACTGTTATTTTTTAAAGATTTAAACATAGTTCCAAATTAGAATAGATATCGAAATTCTTAATCTTATGCTCTAAACTTTTTTTGGTATTATCTCTTGTTAATGTAAATTTTAGATTCATCCTTCTTTTTATTTAAGGGGGCCGACTATAGTTTCCATTGCGCAATATTTCGCGCATCATAGTAAAACGAAGCGTATTTACTGTTTTAAAGTAACTTTTTTCGCCTAATTATCAATATTAAACAAAATTTAGAAATTATAGATATGAAATTGTAATTACAATTTTATATAAGTGATTTTTTAACCGATTTTGCAATTCATAGGTAGGTTGACGTCGTTACAGTGTGTTTTTGACGCTATGATTTACTGAAGCTCTTAAAGAAAGGGGTAATAAAAATGTTATTAAAGAAAAAGTAATAAACATACACTCATGAAATCTAAAATATTGAAATTTGAGAATATCTTCATTATTTTTATTATGTTTTCATATGAATCCCTTGTGCCCGTCATATTTTGTAGTACTCTATAAAAACAGAAAAATTCGTTAATTTTTGGCATTTTGAGACGCCCCCTCTGGTAACAAGAAGGTAGAATTTTGTGTTTCTTACATATATTTTTTAATATAGTATTACTCATCAAATATTATAGTTTGAACAAAAAGTCTATTATAGTATTTGAATAATTTGCTTTAAAGTGCTATAAATTGGCATTTTCCTATATAATCCTATGGTAAATGTACCTGTATTTTGAGACGGGTCCTAAAAATACCTGGATGGTAGATTTTCCCCAAACTTTGCATGTACACTAAAGTTAATGTAAGTCATATATGGTATAAAAATGAAGAGTTTCGCTATTGTAGTTTTCACACAATAAAACCATACTCGGCCGCCTTAAATTGAGTTTTTTTCTCCTCTGGAACTAACGTCAGTAATCATACCATACAGTAACTGTATAACTGCCTTTATCCTTGTTTTGAAAATTTTGATGCAAGTTCCTTTCGGTCTTATTTTGTTGCTTATTTATGATTTGTTCGGTTTATATTTTCTTAATTTTTTATATTTATATTTTTTATTATTTGTTTTGTGTATATTTTTTATGTTCGTTTTGTAGTGTGTTTTACTTGTTCTTATCTTCTCTATCTGTACATCGCGTCTTTTCGCTTCCCTCGGGTTTCACACTGTCATTTTCATGTTTCCCCTTATGTATACCTTCTTATAAGCATGGTAGTTGTTATTAGGATTTGGAGCAGAGAGGAGACCTCTGATTAACTTCAGTCCTCTAACTTTGTTATCCCGATCTCGTCGGCGCAAAGACTAAACATCGAAATATCGGAGGATTCTAGAAAACGAGGGTAAAAAGTAAAAAAGATCAAAAAAAAATTGCCAGATCATTCCGGATTAACTTACCACACGAACTAGGACGATTTCAAAATATAGAATTAGAGGTTGACGTACCATAAGTAAAAATATGGGCTTGCACAATTGTTTTAATAATACGAGCATTCAATAAATTTAATACAGGTCAGGAATTTTATTTGGATTTATTTTTCGCCATTGACAAATGCAGAAAGATTAAATAATTAAATTGTAAATAGAATTTCAAATCTAACTTATCGTATTAATTAGGTCATTCTGTCATAATTTCCTAAATCTCTTTATTTTTATAGCATGTTGTGTGACTCTGGGTGTGGGGCAGGGCCCCCCGCTGTATTCTATATCCCTGGAGACCCAGCTGAGGGACGAGTTATTCTCCGACTACTCCCTCCTACAGAGACCCGCACGGAAAGTGAACGTAGACGTGGCCCTCACGCTCCTCACCGTCAACGAACTCGTAAGTTGTGACGTTGTAGCTGCATGATCCATCCTCACATTGACAACGTTTCGTGATTTCGGAATTTAGGAGTTCGGAAGTCACTAAAACCATTGACATTGTGAGGTTGCTGCATGTTCTATAAATAACTGTTCTAAGAGTAAGATTCAAGACAGAAAGAAAGATGAAATATTTGGAGATAACGAACAATATTTAAGCAAAAAAAAATCCATTTAACAATACAAAATTGGAGCAGCAAACACGGACCTCCAAAAATTAAGAGGTGGATCAGGTGCAATAGAGGAGTGAACATCCCCTGCCGACCGGTCATACCTGCCGTGTGCTACTTGTCTTGATCGGGAAATACCGAAAAAATCCGTCGACAATTAAGTGTGTTTATAATGGCCTAACAATAAATATGAAAATTGTCAGTCAGCATTTGACTTAATGACATATTGTACTTGCTGACAAGGTCATTACATCGACTACACATGTATATATAGAACTTACGAAATGATGACTTTAAACGAGACTGCAAATATTCTTTTTTCAGAAATTTCATACGTAAAGCATGCTCTTGCATATCTGAGAGATTATGCAGGTGATGAAGATACATTGCTGCATAAAAAAGGAAAGTTGACGATTGAAAATTTAAAGTCATCACGTTTATCATAAAGCTACGTACAGCTGTAGTAAGATACTAGTAACATTAACGTCTTTTTCAAGTAAAATACATGTATCTAAATGTGAACATGGTGAAAAAGATGTGTTAGACTCTGTGGTATCTTTTAATGCAAGCTCACCAGGATAAATCGTATGGACATAAGAATCGAAATAACCACTGTGATTGACAATCCGTCTTCGATATATCTAAATGTCGAGTTGAAGGCCACAAAGAGTGTTTTCTTTTTTTCATGAATAAGGTTTTAGACAAAGTCTGCTTCAAATGAATACAAAAATACATGTAGGTCTGCTAATAACGGGGCGCAATTGGTACCCATCGGAATTCCAATAGTTTGTTGTTGGAAAACCTGGAGGAAAGAAAAAGTTATTAAAGAGAAAGAATGCCACACTAAAATTTTTAAGACATCACTTTTAAACTATGGTTTCAACATTGAAAGACCAATATTAGCTTTACCATTAATGAATGTCTAAAAGGAAGGTAATAGTAAACTAAAATATGGAATCGATTAATTTATAAAATATACATGTTTTTATGTATTTCCGAAACTGACCCGGTATTAGTTTATCATATCAAAAATACTAAACTGTACATTATAGATATCCCACCTCAATGATTACGACTAAGGATTTTTTTCTTGGTACCCACCCATGCGTAAGATATGTTTGATTTCTGAATTGAATTGAATATATTTTATTGTAATATATATATACAATGGGATTGGGCACAATTTCTAACCCGCCCCACAGACTGATGTTGCTTTATGGGTCTGTATTACATAAATATTTATATTTTTTGCAGAGTATCAAAGACCAAACGTTATCTGTATCCGCGCTGTTAACTATGGTAATATATTTGTTATCATAACTCTAATTGTTAATTGTCTAAATTGACTAAATAGACTTTAAAGTAATATAGTTCGCAATAAAACAGTGGTACAGTTAGTAGTCTTTTCTTTTGTACATTTGCTTGCACTTAATTTATTTATTTGAGTTTTATATGAAATATAAGTTATCTAGACAAACATGTAATAAAGTGGCAAGTTTTCAATAAAATCGTAAATTAAGTAACTTTCTGTGTTTAATAGCTTTGGACGGATGCACGTTTGAGCTGGATGACTGGTAGAACCCAGGACTACAGTAATATTAACTACATGTACGCCACCGAGAAACAAGTCTGGACGCCGACTATCTACGTGGAAAACTCGTAGGTTGCAAGTCCTCGATTAAATAGCAAATTCACTTGTACAGTTTAATAGAAAGATTTTCTATGGAATTCAGTTTTGACCTTAAAGATGCGAATAAATTAAAATCAGCATACGAGCATTGACTATTAAGAATTGATATTTTTGGCATTAATAGCTATTGTTTTTTTTCTTCTACGTTCATGTATATTATTGTAAAATTGTCAATCTTTGTAAATATTGTGTGGCTTTTGATATTTTATATATGGGAGAGATTTTAGAACTTGTGTCCAATCCCTTTGACATGTTGTCAATAAAATTAATATGTTTAAAACAATATGAATTGATGAAGAAGTTAAAATACCATGATGCCAAAGAAATCCGAAGAAAAAACATCAGAATTGTAACGAATCGATCTTAATCAGTTCTTACCTTTGGTTGAGATGTGTTTAATGTGGAAACACCTTAGGTTATAACGACTTGAAATTAACAAGTAATTTTGTAAATACTATTTAGCATTTAAGAAAGTAGGGTAATGATTAGTAAATACAGAGTGTAATTATTGATATTTTCCAGAATTGTGGATCTTTCTGTGATAAGCGACCCAAACACTCCCATGAGAGTGGACAAAAATGGCAGAATAAGATGGAGTACCTCTGCTATCTACATCGTTAGCTGTGAATCCGAGATCACGTATTATCCACTGGATCATCAGACGTGTACCATCAAACTAGCCACGGCAGGGTACACCGCAGCGAACATCGCACTCAGGTTCAACATTGCCCCTGTCTCTCTGTATTATTACACCGAAAATGGGGAATGGGAACTACTCTCTGTTGAAAATACCAAACCTGCTGATAACTTCATGGGAGGGGAGCCTTACTCTAAGGTCATATTTAGTATACACATGCGCAGAAGACCCATGTTTCACATCCTAAATACCATGTTCCCCGTCGTCCTGATGGCTTTTCTGATCCCGATGGCGTTTAAGCTTCACGTGGATTCCGGTGAAAAAATGGGATATTCATTAACAGTTCTCCTCGCCTACGCCGTGTATCTCTCCATGATATCCGACAACATACCAAGCACATCTGTGTCAATATGTTTTCTATGTAAGTAAATGAAAACAAAAAATTTTGAATAGTGCATGTGAATTAAATTTAAAGTATTTTTTCTTCTTACTTTTGGAGAAATCAAACATATCTATGGCACGCCAAATTCACAAAAGTGAGCAAAACATAGTTTCACAGTCGATAAACTAGGTATATCGGTTGTAAACTATAGTTTACGGACTGTAAACTATAGTTAACGACGTTAATCTATATTGTACATCTGTAAACTATAGTTAACACGATAATCTATGTTTTACAACCGTAAACTATACTTAACACCGAAAACAATCATTTGCGATTGCAAAACATAGATTATCTGATAAATACAGTTTCAAGATTGTAAACTATGGTTTACAACTCTTAACTATAGTTAACGATCGTAAATTATAGTTTACAGACGTGAATCTATGTTTATCAACAAAATCTATCGTTAACGTTTTATTACAGACAGATAAACTTAGATTAGCATTCGTAAACTATAGTTAACAACCATTAAATATAGTTTTACAGATGAAAACTATACTTAACGAATTGAAAACTATAGTTCACGGTTTGTAAACTATAGTTTACAGTCGAAAAACCTAGTTTATCGATTGTGAAACTATGTTTAGCACGCCAAATTCACAAAAATGAGCTAATCATAGTTTCACAGTCGATAAACTAGGTTTATCGGTTATAAACTATAGTTTACGGACTGTTAACTATAGTTAACAATGTTAATCTATATTTTACATTTGTAAACCATAGTTAACGCGATAATCTATGTTTCAGAGCCGTAAACTATACTTAACACCCAAAACAATCATTTGCGATTGCAAAACATAGATTATCTGATAAATACAGTTTCAAGATTGTAAACTATGTTTTACAACTCTTAACTATAGTTAACGATCGTAAATTATAGTTTACAGACGTGAATCTATGTTTATCAACAAAATCTATCGTTAACGTTTAATTACAGACAGATAAACTTAGATTAGCATTCGTAAACTATAGTTAACAACCATTAAATATAGTTTTACAGATGAAAACTATACTTAACGAATTGAAAACTATAGTTCACGGTTTGTAAACTATAGTTTACAGTCGAAAAACCTAGTTTATCGATTGTGAAACTATGTTTAGCACGCCAAATTCAAAAAAATGAGCTAATCATAGTTTCACAGTCGATAAACTAGGTTTATCGGTTGTAAACTATAGTTTACGGACTGTTAACTATAGTTAACAATGTTAATCTATATTTTACATTTGTAAACCATAGTTAACGCGATAATCTATGTTTCAGAACCGTAAACTATACTTAACAGTTACTCTGAAAACAATCATTTGCGATTGCAAAACATAGATTATCTGATAAATACAGTTTCAAGATTGTAAACTATGGTTTACAACTCTTAACTATAGTTAACGATCGTAAATTATAGTTTACAGACGTGAATCTATGTTTATCAACAAAATCTATTGTTAACGTTTATTACAGACAGATAAACTTATATTAGCATTCGTAAACTATAGTTAACAACCGTGAAATATAGTTTTACAGATGAAAACTATACTTAACGAATCGTTGACTATAGTTTACGGTTTGTAAACTATAGTTTACAGTCGATAAGTCTAGTTTATCAATTGTAAACTAGGTTTAGCTAATTTTTGTGAATTTGGCGTGCCATACATATCTGTTGGTACATAAGTGAATAAATAATAAATATTTTTCTGTTATTTTAGCTATATACCTGGCCACAACACTGGTCCTATCCACCATGTCAGTATTGTTTGTCATTATCGTCATTAACGTTCATCACACACCAGAGGACGAACCCATGTCTCCCAGAGTGCAAAACATTGCTTATAAACTGGAATGTTGTTTGTGTAGAGGAAGGAGGGACACATCTACAAACAAAATAATAAAAGTGGCCCCTTCCCCGGATGATTCTATTGACAAGCCCACCATTTTGAATGATAGAGAAGAAGACGAAGAAAAAATGTCGTGGGTTAGACTGTCCCGGCTCTTAGATCGATTCTTTTTCATGGCATTCTTTATAGCAATAACTCTAGCCACATTAGTGTTTACAGCTTTGATTTCATTGAAAATGATTACCTATTAGACATCAGAGTAATTCATGGTAGAATATCTACAGCTCGAGGGCTGTCCAATAAATAATGTCCTGAGCTCTATGAAATACAACATTGAAATCATATGACATTAAGCTGGACTTTCTCTCATGATTGAATCTTTAATGAATTGATAACAGTTCACATAGTTTCATTGTGAGAAGCTGTTAAAAAAAAGAGCTATTCGATACACTGCATTAAAAATGAATGGTAAAGAATCAGTAAACTAGAGTGAAATAAATCGCTTCACTAAAGCTACTGTAAAACTTGTTAAGAATCCCAAAGAAATATTCACTGAAATATGAGAAATTTACAGCAACCGTTGTCTGTTTTATTTTGACACACGGCTGTGGACACAGTTTCTAAAGGAAAGGAGGTGTATTTGAGGCTTTTTCTGTTGAAAATATAGAAATGCTTCACATTAATGATGTCATAATTGCAGAATAGTAAACCTTCATGCCATATTCTTTCCTGATTTATCAGAATCATTTACTAAACTAATATTTAAGCCAGTTTCAAAACTGTTTGATGTCATTACATTTTAGGGCGCAATAAAGCTAAAACCATACCTTCTTCTTTACAGCAACCGTTGTCTGTTTTATTGACACATGAGCAGGTGTATTTCAAGGAACAAAATTATATAATGGGCATCAAAAATGGATAACGTCCTTGGCGACAAGGACTTACAACAATGTACTGTATGCCAAAATTCAACAAATTATCAATGATGGCGTTCATTGACTTTAAGACAAATAACAAATTTTATAGGCATCATTTTGGGGTATAGTTCACACTGTTTTTTAAAAAGAAACATTTGACAGTAAAAAAGAGCTAAGTACTCATTAGTCACCCTATGTTTTTAAAAATGAGAGAAAACGACAGCGTGTAAGAATATCTTAACACTTATTTTAAAAAATCAGAAATTGAGTTATCAACGTATGTCTGAAATTCAAACACATAATGTAACTTGAATCCATTGCTTTAAACCCTCAAAACAAATTTAAAATAAGATGCACTTGACAAAAAACAGCAAAGGTCTGAGAAAAGCAAGAGCACAAAGAGTTTTATATGCCATTTTCTTAAAAATTAGTGGTCTTGTTTTTCAATTCTTATTCAGGGAGGCAGTTCGATTTCTGGAGGAGTCTAGAAAACAAAATTTTTTGCAAAAAATCGAAAGGTTTATGAGAGGAAGGAACCATAATCAGGAATCCACTACATTAAATTTCTTCATGACAGCGTCCAAACCCACGCGTCATGAAGAGTAAAGGAGTTTTAAGGATACTAGTTAGCAGACACAGTAGTTAATGTTTTGTCACACCAAAATTATTCGCCAGATCTTTCACCCTTTGACTTGTTTTATTTTTTTCAAACTTGAAAAAAAAACACCTTTCAGAGAGAAGAAAAAAGTCCACAAAATCATAGGATCTGCCATATTCCAGTATACGAAGGCGCATACTCAAAAATGTGTTCTGAAAACAATCAGAAATTGGATAAAAATGTTACGGGCATGTGTTTTAATTAAAAGAGAATATTTAAGTGAAACCATTAAGACTAAATCATTGAAAAGCGGTTTTGTTTCTTTTCGAGAACCGATGACATCATTTATTGATTGATTGATTGTATATTGTTTAACGTCCCTCCCGAGAATTTTTCACTCATATGGAGACGCCACCACTTGCCGGTTGAGAGCTGCAAATTTTGTCCCATACTCGGCACTCAGGACCATTTAGCAGGGAGGGATCTTTTTCGTGCCAGCACCTACTGCGACACGGGACCTCGGTTTATACGGTCTCATCCGAAGGACCGGTCTCCACGTCCCACAGTGGGATTCGAACCCGGGACGTAAGGATCAACTCCTTACTTCGTGACTCTAGAGCAGACGAGGTCGACCATCATTTATTGAACAGTCCTCGCAAGTGGGAGAAATGTTACTTGTAATATTTCTTATGTACAGTTAAATAATATACATTTTATGCGTATAATATGACTTTTATGCAAGACACAACAAAACGAAAAGAAACTTGATGGGACTTTTTTCATTTTATCTTTCTATATATCCCTTCCCCTGGATCAAACTTCATATATAAATTGCTTTGGCTATTATTTTAATTTAACTATTGTAAACAATAAAACACTCCTTTTTATTTTGCTTTTCAACAATGGCTTTCCGTAATCTTTCTCTCTCTCTCTCTCTCAATGTCCTGCCACTGGCGTTATTTTATCTTATAGGTAGAAATCTGAATCCTTGTTTCTACATGTATTTTATAACAATAGCAAAAATTGGTGACAGAGACTGTTTCACCAGAAATGCCTGTATACAGTCTCCCTTTTGTCTGAGTGGGCAAGGAGAATTATGAACAAATTTCACTATAGAATGAGAAGAGGAATCGTCTTTTTAGAGAAAGAATCGACCAGCTAGAAATGCTAGATAGAGAAACTTTATTATCAAACAACAAAAATAATAGATTTTTTTCTCTGCGGAAAATTACTTGTATACATTTTGATGGAAAGATGCGTGGTTCCATCCTCAGGTGGATCCTCTGTTTCAACGCACTTTAAAAAATTACGCACTTTGAAAAAATTTTTCAAAGTGCTTTAAATTTGGAACTAAATCAACGCACTTTGAAAAAATAAAATTTCTTTTCAAAGTGCGTTGATTTCGACCATATTAACGCACTTTGAAAAAAAATGTGTATGTCTTGGTCAATATTCTTGAAAATCTTAGGTGTGATAAATGATTGAACCTGTTAGATAGCTTTTCGGTAATAAGGTCACTTCCGGATGTGAAAGTGAGCGATTTTGATTTTTCCATACTTTGAAAATTCTTTCTCTCTTAAATGTGTTACTGTACTTTATTTTTTTTTCCAGTTTGCATGGCATGCATTTAATGTAAACCAAAATTTATAGAAAGTTTTCAGCGTCATACCACTTATGCAAATACATTTATCTGGGTGTAGCATAGGCATCGGTAGCAATGGGGGGTCTACACACAAATATTTTGCAAAGATATACATAATGACAGTAAAAATTGGGGCTTACCTTGGGGGGACACTTTCAGTTTGCTACCGACGGCTATGTACTAAGTATAAGAAAAAAGAGTTTGACTTCATGAGAGACCTTCTATATACTAGTACTCATCTTCTTGTTCTCAATGAAAGTAAATCTACATGTAAATTAAAACGTTTTTCGAAAAATATAATTATTACAAATTAATTCTCTCAATACTAAAATCTAAGTCAATAATTTTTGTTTTATACATATTTTTTTTTCAAAGTGCGTTAAATCTCCACATGGTAAAACGCTTATGTACACTCTTAACGCACTTTGAAATAAATTTTTCAAAGTGCGTTGAGTATGTCCCAAATTTAACGCACTTTGAACAAAATTTTCAAAGTGCGTTGATTTTGTCCCAATTTTAACGCACTTTGAAAAAAATTTTCAAAGTGCGTAATTTTTTCAAAGTGCGTTGCCACAATCCTCCTTCATTGGCTGTTTCGGCATTGTCCGCTACACCTCCAGAGGTGCGCCGACTGGGGTGATCAGGTCCCAGCCTGGAACCACTTGGCTCTATATCACTGCTGTTCTATTTTACTGTCTATCTCACTACTGTTCTGGTGTCTCAGTACTGTTTATTGTCTTTCCACTCCTCTGCTCTTCTTCTCCAAACCACATGCATATGGACGCTGATTCCGCCTCCCTGCACTCTCCCTTTCAATCTCCTTCTCTCTGCTACTGTAATGCCAATAGTTCTCAGTCCGCTCCAAATAGATCTCAGTGTCCTCCAAATAGACTGCCTCACGAATCCTCTACAACCAATTTCCACTGCAAAAAACAGACCCTCCATCCATTCCATTGACAATTCTTTAGAAGGTCTTGGTACTTAAGATTTTTTATATAGTATGTACCTCCATCCTATCTTCCCATGGCACTGTTAATTCCAAAATAATTGTCTGTCTTGTAGCCATTGACCAAAGGACTACATCCGCCTCTTGTTTGTGGCTATTGTTTCGGTTGAAAATATATGCACTAATCTTTCCTTTAGGTCTGTCCGCATCTGCCGATCTGTTGCTGTCCCCAGCACATTCTGTAACACTAACTTAATGTTTTCTCCTTCTTTTACAAAGATGACAAATCTCAGGCCCTATGTGTTCTTCTTTGACTTTTTGATACCTTTCTCCAAGGTGTCAGCTATACTGGCATCATTTCTCCAAATGTATCTTCCATCTTTCAATGCCTCTGAGCATTATGATAATATGTGCTCCAAGTTTGCTGGTTTACCACAGAGGACACACTTTGGATCATCTGTCACTCCCCAGATGCATTTTACCAGATTAGTTGGGCTTGGAAGAACATCATAAACTGATTTCAGCTTAAACTGAAGTGTGAATGGTTCCATCTTCCAAATATCATTCCATCCCAACTGCACCTGACGTGCGTTTTTCCAGATCACCCAGCTACCATGTTTCTTCATTCCGACTGCTTTCACCATTCTTGAATCATCCTCCATTGCACGCACTTTTCTCTGTACCAAACTGCGCTTCTCTTCTGCTGAAGTTGTCTTGCTGTTAGTGTGACATCAAGCCCTTGCCTTCCTTTTGCCAGTCTTCCCTCGATGTCACTGTGTCTCAAGCGGAATTCTTCTTCTATAATTTTCTTTACTGACCACTGTTCCCCCGTCCTGATATCTACTTTTGCTATTCTGTAACATTAAGTGTTGACACACTTTTGTCACCTTGAATTCCCCAGTAATTGACTTTAGAGGTAACTGTAGCTTAGTCCCGGAGCTATATAAACCAATGCTGCTGAAACTTCGCGGTACCCCCAGCCATCTCTTCAGGTATCTGCTTGGCGTTGTTTCCATCCCTTCTAGTGTGCTCATTGGTACCTCGTACACCAATACGGCCATAGCAAACAAGGCAGTATCCCATGTTGGTAAATCCATGCTTTATATTTACCGGGAAGTCCACTTTTATCCACAGTTTCCATCTATTCATCCAACTGTCTGCATGTTTTTTTTTTACATTTTGTCTGAAGAATTTCCCTAAAAACTTTACTGGCTTCTCTGAGACTGTTGGTATTGCCACTCGCTGAATCTTGAATCTTTCTTCTTTCACTTTTCCATTCTTTATAGCCAAACTACGAGATTTGCTTGGTTTTACTTAAAAATGCAATAAAAATAAAATGTGGCGAAATGATGCGCCACGCATAGATACAGTTCAATGTATATACTGTACTGTACATAGTAATAAAGCCTACAGTGTAGCTACTGTACACAAGGAAAACTTCGCTCCGTTTTATTTTCGCCCTACCCTACGTTGGAAGAGTGCAACATAATTTCTTAAACAAAACTGTGAATGGGCGAATTTAAGACGGGACAAAATTGTTAGCCAGTATGAAAGGGCGATAATAAAGCGGGGCGAAAATAACCCTGTGTTCAATACGGGTATATAAGCTTGAAAGATTTTGGTCAACTTTTCAGCCTTTTATTTAAAATTCAAAAACATTCTGTTGCTCCATTAAAAAAAGGAAAATAATCTTCCATAGATATCTTATTGTACTTATGATTAAATGTTTATTCTTTTAAGGAAAAAAAAACCCTTTTTTAATAATGACAAGCATGTACTTTGATTTTTTTACCTACCGTTGTATTCGTAAAAATTACCACATCATTCATTTTCTTGTCAAATAGTATTGACCAACTTTAATTAAAAGAAAAGAAATAATTAAAATTGTATTTTCTTTATACGATAATGAAAATCAATGTTAAAGGACATGCAGTATTTAGCAATATAAGTTGTTAATTGATTTAATAAAGGGTAAACACAGGGGATCAGAGAAGTATAATATCGAACAAAATTAAACTGTTGACCTCATAAATTTAGTTTAATACATTAATTGTGTGTTCTATTATGTGCTCTCTACATCTGAATTAAAAAATTAATGATAGATAAACAGAGTGGAGAATATGACACAAAAGCATGATCAAAAAATAATATTGAGCTGTTGATTTGTTTTTTAAAATTAACTCAAGATTTTAAATGAACTCGCAGTAGGTGTTGAAATCTATCCACGTTCATTTCGAAGAACTGCTTGGAACTTACTTTCAGGGATGGAATGGGTTTTCTCTTTACTCGGTAAGTTTATTTATTACAAATCAGCATTTTTTTTCTTTCGTCTTAAATTTTTCACAAAGACAATTAAATGAGTCTATCATGTTTTCTACAACTGGGAATATAGAATCTCTTTAAAACGTTTCAAGAAAATGAACGCCAAAGTTTTCCTGTAATAGGCAAGGGGAATCTTTAGCTATAAAATACAATGTGATAGCACTCAATATGAATCCGTTTCGCAAATATCGCTAAATGAACTGTTTACGGCCATCGCTCTTGACACAGTGTAATAAAAACAGTTGCACTATCTGCATTTTTCTTTCAATGAAATTGTTTCAGACAACTTATTTCGTAGAGATGATTTATTAATATAAATATTTTGTGGAATTTAGATGTAAAAGACAATCTAAGATAATGTTTGAGATGCTCTTACATTACCATACCTTATCAGGAAAAATTATAAACTTTTCAATTCATATTAAAATTTTGTTGAAGGAAAAACAGTAAGCACTAAGCGAAGTTTAGAGTATGTCATTAATTAATGTTTGTTTCTTTTCCTTTTTTTTTTAACCAAAATATAAAAAAATCTGAAATTGAAGAGTTTGATGAAATATAATAAGCGTAAAGAAGTATTGTTTTCAAGACATTCTTGTTTTGGATGCAAGTATTAAGGTTTAAAGTTTCGTTTCAACGTAAGCTGTATGTATTGTTAAAAGAAAATGGAAATCGGAAGTCATGATATATTGTCAATATTAGGGTTTCTGTGTAAAAACTACGCACTTGCGAGCAATAAAGATTCCCCCTGCTCATATATAAATAAGCCGTCAAACCAAGTTACTGGTATGTAGATCACATACTGTCTAATGGCAAGCGAAGAAGTGACCATCCATATCATCGGGATCAGGGCGATTTACATTTATATTAAACGTGACAAAGGAATTTAATCATTTAGATATACAAGTTGTCATTCTGTAAAACAACATTTACTTTTCAACTTTTGATGCCTACCATCTTTTTGTAATCCTCCAAAAGACTTTTGTCAAAGATTTAAAATATTATAATTCTTATTCTATTCATCTTTAAAGCTTCCAAAATATAGATCAAGTTACAAAATTTCAATAAGTATATAGATCGATACAAACTGATAATTTTTCTTCAAAAAGAGGATGTTTTGAAAGGGAAAGACAGATCACAAAAGTAGAAAGTTTAAGATAAATTTTGTAAATTGCAAATAATTAAAATCACAGCATTTCCTATTTTTAAGTGAAAAAGAAAATGGCAAAAAAAATGATGTGTTCATTTTGTGAAAAAGAATGAATAAAGGGATGAGAGAGAAAGGGGAGAGAGGGGAAATGTGTGTGTGTGTGTGTGTGTGTGTGTGTGTGTGTGTGTGTGTGTGTGAGAGAGAGAGAGAGAGAGAGAGAGAGAGAGAGAGAGAGAGAGAGAGAGAGAGAGATAATTATTGTCGAAAACTATGTTTAAACTATTTAATTCGAAATTAAAATATTATACCTGATCAGATTAAACGTTCAAAATTTATCGAAGAATTTAAATCTTAGATTTTTTAGAGAGATGATTTTTTTTTTAGAAATTCTACTCACATGAGCTGCAATTAGTTTCAAGAATTTTGTTCATCTAATCATAATATACCAATTGAAAGAAGATGTTGGATAAATGAACCAATCGAAATAAGATAATGTAAAAATGATATTTAACGAAGTAGGCGGTGAATTTCGCTGTACATGTAAATATTAAAAAGCATAGTTATGATAAACGAAGAAAATAAATATGCTTAATCAGTTAATGTTTAGAAATTTAATAACATTTAAAAAAAATGATGATTTAAAAAAAAAATTCTGAAAACTTTGTACTCTTATTTGAAATATTATTAAAACTTACTTCCAATCCAGTGGATACATACTTTTACAACTGGTCTACATTGTATTTATCCATAATTTTATAAAAGCAAGCGTGCTTTTAAATCTGTTTTAAATTGTAACCGCTGTATATTTATATAATTACTCTAGTAAGTGTAAACTGCTGGCAACATCCTTTTTCTAAGTTTGACTTCTGTACATTTTTGTTGGAAATTGTTTACCTTATGACCTAATACGGAGTATATAAAACATTTTTCTAATCTTTATGGAACGCCGTCACTGCCTTATAGCAGAACACAACAATTGCATTGCGTCATCATTCCATTACATTATGTCACCACTTTATGACATTTACTCACACTGCTATTGCATTGTGTCAACCTTCCATTATATTATGTTTGACTCTTTATGACATTAGTCCACACTACTATTGCATTGTGTCAATCTTTCATTACATTATGTCAACTCTTTATGACATTTACACACACTACTATTGCGTTATGTCAACTTTCCATTACATTATGTTTAGTCTTTATGACGTTAATTCGCACTTTAATTACATTGCGCCAGTCTTCCATTGCATTATATCAGCTCTTTATGACATTAAGTCAAAACAATTTTACGTGGTGTAAAGATGTTTGTATATAATTTCAACTCATTATTACATTATGTGCACTCTCTACTATTTGGTCTAAGTAGTTCATTACATGATGTGAATTTTCCTTTAATTCAATATCAAGTCGATATAACACGATGTCAGTATTTCATTACATGATCTGAACAAATTGTCACATGTGGCCAATTCTTTACTACATTGTGTCATCAATATGCTACAGGACGACGGGAAGCTATTACATGATGTCAATTTTCCCTAATTTTCTGACAAATCATTATTACGTTATACCATTGTATCTTTACATTGTGTCTAAAATGGTTAGCCTCTTGTCAGTATATTTTAGAATATTTCAACTCTTTATTGTGTGACGTAAGGTTTAGGTTATGCCTAAAAGTTCGTTTTGTGTTTTCAATATTACATGCAAATATGTTAAACATGCAAATAATTTAAATTAAATATATCAAATATTAAATTATACACAAGACTTAGTAATTCCTTAATTAAATATCAGGTTAAAATTTATAAATAGGATCATGTTCCCGTGGAATCTTTATTGACGATTGTTTTTTTTTTAACGTCGAAATTCAATGGCCGTTTAATCTCATAATTATCGCAAATCAAATAGTATGTGTAATGCAGCAATTTTTTTCATTTTATTTTGAAAAGTCCGAAACTTCTGATCTAACTACAAAACACTGTCCTAAGCTTTTTATCAGTCTTCAACCCTCCTTTAAAAAAAAAAAAGTGTAAACGCATCGCATTTCATACGTGCACCGATGTGTGGGTGGGGAGAGAGGGGATCCCTCCCTCTCATCTATAGTGACCAAAATATGCATGAAATTAATCAACTGGTTTTACTTTGTAGGACATTGCATTAGTTTTACATAAAGTTTAACTGAAACAAGTTGAAACGTTTTATATATATAAAAAAAAAACGCTAAAGCCTGAGAGCTTCCAGGCTTTCACCCCCTGGTCCCCAACTTAGACACCATACCGTCCCTCTATAGCTACTCTTTTCAAGAACCAGTGAGGGACTGGTAGAATTTTGTAACAGAATTCTGGACCTGGAATGGTTGAAAAATGACTAGTTCCAGTGACGTTGCATCGTTTTTGAAAGTTGGGGGAGGTTTGTCAGCCAGGAAAAAAATAACGTCCAAACTCAAAAATCCTATTTGGGTGAAAGGGGGGGGGGGGGGGGTCCAACTTCGATAGTCCTAAAAAAAATTCTCTTATACTTCAGCAAAAAGTGGGGCGGAATTTCAATCCGCTTCAATGAACATTTTCTATGATAAAGTTATGTCGGAAAAAAAGAGGAAGCCAGACCCACCCACCCCCCTTATATAATGTGTCTCTAATTCGTCCTAATTAATCAGAACAACCCCCCCCCCCTTCCCCGTCATGAAAACACGGTTATCAACTTTGACATAATGTAAATGTATTTTACAGCACGTAATGAACATTTGAATCAACATGATAAAGAGTTAACACAATATAAAGATATTCTTAAATCATATAAGAAAGATTTGACATAACGTAATTATATATCCACATCACGGAATGGAGTTTTGACATAATGTAATAAAGTGTTGATATAATATGGGACGCCGGGACTGTCTCCATAATATATGTTCACATTATGTTATAAACCTTTTTACATCACGTAATAAAGCACTGACATAAAGGTAAGATGTTTTCAACTAACATTGTGATGACCTCGGCGTAAAATAAAGATACATTTACATCACGTAATAATGCTTTGTACGGAAGCCCATTTAGGACCTATCAAAAATATTTTTGAATTCGTTATAACGATTTTTAGAATTCGTTATAACGAATTTAATTTGTTATAACAAATTTTTAGAATTCGTTATAACGAATTTAATTTGTTTTAACAGCCTTTTAGAATTCGTTATAACGAATTTAATTTGTTATTACAGCCTTTTAAAATACGTTATAACGAATTAAATTTGTTATTACAGATTCATTGAATTCGTTATAACGAATTTAATTTGTTATTACAGATTTATTGAATTCGTTATAACGAATTTAATCTGTTATTACAGATTTGTTGAATTCGTTATAACTAATTCAACGAATTTGGTTATAACGAATTCAACAAATCTGTAATAACAAATTAAATTCGTTATAACGAATTCAATGAATCTGTAATAACAAATTTAATTCGTTAATTCGTTAATTTAATAAATCTGTTAAAATAAATTAAATTCGTTATAACGAATTCAATAAATCTGTTATAACAAATTTAATTCGTTATAACGAATTCTAAAAAATCGTTATAACGAATTCAAAAATATTTTTTGATAGGTCCTAAATGGGCTTCCGTAGCTTTGTTATTATAGAAATATACACCCACAAAAGGGAATGAACTTTGACTTAACGTAATGATAAATTTAATCATAGAACACAAGTAAAATGAAATTAACTTGACGTAATGCAATTTTGACCTCGCATATTAAAGAAATGAAATAATATAATGATACATTCATTTCACGTAATAAAGTATTAACACAATGTAAACATATTTTCACTTCACATAATGAACTTTGGACTTCAAGTTATAAAGTGCTGACATAATGGAAGAATGCGTTCACTCCATGTAATGCAGCATTGACATGATGTAAAGATATTTTTACAACACCCCATAAAAAATTGACATAACGTAAATATATGCTAACATCACGTAATGATAGATTGACATAATGAATGCATAGTTTTATGCTATAAGGCAGTAATGGCGTTCCATAAATCTTGTTTTCAGAATTTTTATTATTTGTTCAACCGCTGATTGGTTCCAAAACCAGGACTAAGAGTAAACCTCCCCCTCCCTCGTACTCCCCGGCCCTGGAGAGTCAGCTGAGGACCGAGATTTTTACCGGCTACTCCGTGCTGCAGAGACCTACCAAACAAGTACTGGTCAGAGTAGAACTCACTCTACTCACAGTAAATGACCTGGTACGTAGCTTATTCACAATTCTTAAAGTAAACATCAAGTAAGCTTCCCTCACATTTCTCAAAAGTAAAGTTCTAGTATGCGCCAATAAGCCTTTTGCGCTTCTCACAGTAAAAATTCAGTTATACACTTCATATATTTCCATTTCTATTTGTTTTCTCTGTGATGTCTTTGAAAGTAAGGCAAATATATTTGTTGATAATTCAACCGAAATATTAATTTCGTCAAGCGAAAGGTCAAGAGCTAACAAGACTTAATATGCATGTAGATCTCGCGGCTGTCTTTGTGTCTATTGAAATTGACAAGGAAATCCTCGTGTAATTTAAATCTATTAAACAACAATTTTATTTCACAATGAAATGGAAATATAAGGAATCACTGGCAGGAGATGCTCACTCCTCCATGGCACCTGATCTCACCCCTGATGTTTTGGAGGACCGTACGTGTTTGCTTAGCCTCAATTTTGGATTGTTTAATGGACATTTGAGCTTGAATATTGTTCTTGAGTCCATATAATTCATTTCAACTACTTGGTATGCATCATGCAAACTCCTCTCTGCTAAAGACCTGATAGCGGTACTTATCATTGACATTCGATCCTCATTCATGACTTCACAACATAAAATGTCCTTCTCTCTTGAATGAAAGTTACTGAGTACTCACACCTTTGGATATCAATGTGATTGTCCAAAATATTTCATGTATGAAAGTCCGTTTCAGTCAGTCCTAAAAATTCAATCCATGCCTTAATTATTCTGTTTATCAGACCAGTAATAGTAACCATCGATTGTTGAACGGTAACACTGCTGTTCAACTAGCTGCAGATCTGTAGCGTTATGGTTTTATATAGTAGTCTTGACCATAACAGACTACTATAAAAAACCATAACGCTACAGATCTGCAGCTACTGTTCAACCTATGCATTAATCAGATAGACGGGATACCCCGTAGTCAATTTTGTATAAAAATCATTGATATAACATGCCTTGGTCATATTCAGAGCATTTTATCGAGGGGACAGTTGCCTCTAAAATTTAATGTGAATTAATGAATCACAATAGTAAAAAGACAATTTTTAAAATGTCTACATGTACATCTTACATGTATGCCTGCAAAGCACTATCAAGTTGTAAATTTTGAATATACTAGGGGGAGGCAAATGCAAATTAAAATCATAGTAATGAGAAGTTTTTTTTTTTATTACAGAACATAAAGGACCAGACCCTGTCAGTATCCGGACAATTCTCTCTGGTAAGATATCAGGTTTGACTAAGTAGTCATTAAGGTGCCTTTTCAGTACGAGAAACATCAGTTTAATCAGTTTTCTCTGTTCATTTTGAATTGCTTGTTGTTTTAGGTCTGGTATGATCCTCGACTGTCGTGGGTCAGCAGCCGGAATCTCTCACAGGACTACACCAATATCATCTTTATGTTCAGCAATGAGAACTACGTCTGGAAACCGTGCGTCTTCATTGAAAATTCGTAAGTAATATACATGTAGTTTAGAATTTCGCGTACTTCAAGAACACTGCACAAGCACTAGAATTAAAACATCTTTAGAGTCCTGGATATATATATATTTTTCTATTATATAAGATTTTTAATAAACTCTTCTTTGACTGATATGTTAATTCTTCAGAATCGACGATCTGTCCGTGATAAGTGACCCTAACACCCCGATGCGTCTAAACATCATTGGTTTTGTGAGATGGAGTCCTTCAGGTATCTTTAAGGTGAACTGCGAGTCGGACATAACCTACTACCCATTAGACTATCAAACATGTGACATCAAATTAACAACCTCCAGTTACACATTATGGGAAATCAGACTCGGTATGGCCGATGAACCCGTCAATCTGAATTTTTACGCCGAGAATGGGGAATGGGAGCTACTCTCAGCGCTGGGGATGGCTTCTAATGACAAAACCAGGGGAGGCCAATCTTTCTCCAGTTTGAACTACAGAATAAGCATGCGCAGAAGGCCATTATTCCACGTGTTGAACACAATGTTTCCGGTAGCCTTAATGGCATTCCTTATTCCGCTGACTTTCAAACTTCACGTAGATTCTGGAGAGAAAATTGGATACTCTTTAACAGTCCTGCTAGCTTACGCTGTCTATCTGTCTGTTATATCAGAAAACATTCCAAGCACCTCCGTGTCTGTTTGTTACATGTGTAAGTATATAAACTTAATGTTAAATATTGAAGAATGTTTTATTTATCAATGCAAATGTATACTAGTATTCAATGCAGAAAAGGTGTGTTATCTTCGCAATACTCATCTCTTTCAGCGATTTACTTGGCAGCGGTTCTTGGAGCTGGGACTATAGCCGTCTTGTTTGTCATCATTGTCATCAATGTTTACCACAACCCAGACACGAAACCAGTCCCTACCTGGACCAGACGGTTTACCATTCTCCTCATGAAACTCTTCTGTATGTACCCTACCTGCCGTCCTTGTAAATCAAACAAAACGAGACCTGTTGAAAAAACTCCTGTGACGGAGTTAGTGAAGATGCCCGTCATTTCTAATGATGACGTCATAGAAGAGGAGGAGGAAGAAGAGAAGACTGAGTTAACATGGAAGATGGTCTCCGAGGTCCTGGATCATTTCTTTTTTATTGTATTTATGCTTGTCGTTCTTGTGTCAACAATTACTTTTGTAGCCGTCATAGTGATGAAGTACATAACGTACTGAGACATCTTAAAATATCGTGCAAATACTTGTGAATCGTAAACAGTTTATTACTGACACGTATCTGTACTTATCTTCAAAGACTTTAGGCAATGTCTTGTTAAACATTTATTTGTAAATATTTACATTTCCAAATATATTTCCTCAAGATTTCTTGCAAATTAGAGAAAGTCCATGTTCTCATGAACTGCCATGGGATGAGTAAGAATGATTTCATCGTGATGTGATTAAAGTAAAAAAAAACATAGTTCAACTTTTTTCAAAAATAATCGTTGAATGACAAAAATTCGTGGCAAGTCATCAGAAATAAAATTTAAATACTGTATGTGATATGATTTTAATTTTTGAGAATTCATGAATTTCATGAACTACAACGCTTCACGCCGGTATACATGTATTCATCATGATTAGTTCTCAAAATTCTTAAGACTAAGCGAAATTTTCCTTATAATGACTCTCAGTTCATGTAGAACTGAAGACTTACGTCTGAACTCATGTCAACGGCATGATGCAGCGGTTATAACGTTTGTTGTGGAGTCACATAGGAAGGAGTTATAAGCCTTATGTCGCGGCTTCGAATCCCACTAAGGGCCGTGAAGACCGGTCTTTTGGAAGGATGAGACCATAATAATTAACCGAGGTCCCGTGTTGCAATATTATGTCTGTCATTGACGTAATTCAGTTAGTTATAGCTTATATGTTTTGATCACCCCTCGGAAAGACGTTACCGGAAGGCAGCTTTTAAACCTGTGACAGAGACTAGACCAGCGGAGGATTTTTTTCTTCGTGCGAGTGCATATTGCTATGATATTAAGATATTCAGCTTTGTTTTTAACTGTAACTTTGCGGTTGTTCGTAACAGATTGCTTAACAGACAACTTAAGACATATCTCTTTCCCAAATTACGTTCACTGGGCACACACTGAAACAGAACGGACATCACTGTGTCGCCTGCAGAGCACAGCGGCAGTAGGGGATCACTTTTACAGACGTCTGTCTTCTGTCACACCACATCGGCACCAGGGAATCATATTTACCAACGTCTTGTGTTCTGTCACACCACATCGGCACTAAGGGATCACTTTTACCCACGTCTGTGTTCTGTCACACCACATCGGCACTAGGGGATCACTTTTACCCACGTCTGTCTTCTGTCACACCACATCGGCACTAGGGGATCACATTTACCAACGTCTGTGTTCTGTCACACCACATCGGCACTAGGGATCACTTTTACCAACGTCTGTATTCTGTCACACCACATCGGCACTAGGGGATCACTTTTACCAAAGTCTGTCTTCTGTCACACCACATCGGCACTAGGGGATCACATTTACCAACGTCTGTGTTCTGTCACACCATATCAGCACTAGGGGATCACTTTTACCAACGTCTGTATTCTATCACACCACATCGGCACTAGGGGATCACTTTTACCGACGTCTGTCTTCTGTCACACCACATGGGCACTAGGGGATCACTTTTACCAACGTCTGTCTTCTGTCACACCACATCGGCACTAGGGGATCACTTTTACCGACGTCTGTCTTCTGTCACACCACATCGGCACTAGGGGATCACTTTTACCGACGTCTGTCTTCTGTCACACCACATCGGCACTAGGGGATCACTTTTACCGACGTCTGTCTTCTGTCACACCACATCGGCACTAGGGGATCACTTTTACCCACGTCTGTCTTCTGTCACACCACATCGGCACTAGGGGATCACATTTACCAACGTCTGTATTCTGTCACACCACATCGGCACTAGGGGATCACATTTACCAACGTCTGTGTTCTGTCACACCACATCGGCACTAGGGGATCACTTTCACCGACGTCTGTCTTCTGTCACACCACACTGGCACTAGGGGATCACTTTTACCCACGTCTGTCTTCTGTCACACCACACCGGCACTAGGGGATCACTTTTACCAAAGTCTGTCTTCTGTCACACCACACCGGCACTAGGGGATCACTTTTACCGACGTCTGTCTTCTGTCAAACAACATCGGCACTAGGGGATCACTTTTACCAACGTCTGCCTTCTGTCACACCACACCGGCACTAGGGGATCACTTTTACCAAAGTCTGTCTTCTGTCACACCACACTGGCACTAGGGGATCACTTTTACCAACGTCTGCCTTCTGTCAAACAACATCGGCACTAGGGGATCACTTTTACCAACGTCTGTGTTCTGTCACACCACATCGGCACTAGGGGATCACATTTACCAACGTCTGTATTCTGTCACACCACATCGGCACTAGGGGATCACTTTTACCAACGTCTGTGTTCTGTCAAACAACATCGGCACTAGGGGATCACATTTACCAACGTCTGCCTTCTGTAAAACATCATCGGCACTAGGGGACCACTTTTACCAACGTCTGCCTTCTGTCACACCACACCGGCACTAGGGGATCACTTTTACCAACGTCTGTGTTCTGTCACACCACACCGGCACTAGGGGATCACTTTCACCGACGTCTGTCTTCTGTCACACCACACCGGCACTAGGGGATCACTTTTACCGACGTCTGTCTTCTGTCACACCACACCAGCACTAGGGGATCACTTTTACCGACGTCTGTGTTCTGTCACACCACATCGGCACTAGGGGGTCACTTTTACCAACGTCTGTCTTCTGTCACACCACATCGGCACTAGGGGATCACTTTTACCAACGTCTTTCTTCTATCACACCACATCGGCACTAGGGGATCACTTTTACCGACGTCTGTTTTCTGTCACACCTTTTATCGAGAACTGTAGGAGATAAGGATTAGATATTTTGAACATATGAATATATATATATATATATATATATATATATATATATATATATATATATATAGCTTAGCACCATGGTTGACCTACTTTTCTTGATGTAGACTGGCAATTGCGGTAGAGACAGACTGAGTTGATCCTTACTTCGAGGGTTCGAATCCCACTGCGGGCCTCTGAGACCGGTCGGATGAGACCGTATAAACCGAGGTTCCGTGTCGCAGTATTGCTGACACGATAAAGATCCCTCACTGCTCAATGACCCTGAGTGCTAAGTGTGGGACAAAAATTGCAGCTCTCCAGGCAAACATGACGTCTCCAAATGAATGTTCCCAAGTGAAGTTGACGAGGAATTGGTGTATATAAGTTCTGTATGTACATTTAAGGTATTGAAAGCCAGGCATGATGAAGTATACTTACTGCTTTCAGATCATCAACTGTGTCAATATTCATCGTATCTTTTTAGTTGGTTTTTTAAGATAAGCCAAATATTTTCAATAATATTGATATCAGAAGATTGTATATGCCATGGTAGAGTTGAAATGTTGTTATTTTCTTTCCAGGCATTGGTCATTCTTGGGGCATGAAGTGAAGGGATCGTCATCCTGAAACATGTATTATTTCCTTGTGGTAATGGATGTTTTCGAATTCAAAACCTTATTGGGTATATGCGAAAGGTCCAGAGGAAATTTTGTGTTGAGTGTGTGGCGGTCACCCGGGTTCGATCGCCGGTGGCCAGATAGCTCAGTTGGTAGAGCACCTGTCCGGAGTTTCAGGGGGCCCGGGTTCGAATCCCTGTCTGGTCCGCTGCATTTTCTCCTCTCCCGTTACATTTGGTGCCGTGCCATGCCCTGGAATTGACAGGTGAAAGACCTGCCAGGGATGAGCCTGGGTTGGGGTCTTTAGAGGGCCAACGACCTTTAAGGAGGAAGGAATGTGGTGGTCAGCCGGGTTCGATCGCCGGTGGCCAGATAGCTCAGTTGGTAGAGCACCTGACCCACTGCATTTTCTCCTCTCCCGTTAAATTTGGTACCGTGCAATGTCCTGGAATTGACAGGTGAAAGACCTGCCAGGGATGAGCCTCGGTTGGGGTCTTTGGAGGGCCAAAGACCTTTAAGGAGGAAGGAATGAGGCGGTCAGCCGGGTTCGATCGCCGGTGGTCAGATAGCTCAGTTGGTAGAGCACCTGACCGGAGTTTCAGGGGGCCCGGGTTCGAATCCCAGTCTGGTCCGCTGCATTTTCTCCTCTCCCGTTACAAGCGAATTTCTTTCAATTCAAACTTTGCAAGCGACATTGCCGTTACTCACTCTGGCTTTAACACTTAATCACGATGGAAATGACTCTCTGAAGTCTTATATAGTTTACAAACTTGCCGCCCGTTAGCATTGACTGAACATTTGCATATTAATATAAAGCAGAGAGCAAAGATCATTTTATCAACGTTGTTCAAAGGGCCATAATTTGAGTTATCGAACTTTGTCACAGACTTACATTATGCAAATTTTACTACTTATAATCAGTCGCAAGGGAAAAATGTATATATAGGCTGTCTTTGGAGGGTGGATGGTGGGGGAATATTCCCAACAAGTAAACTATTTGTACTTGATTAAATAATAGTATCATTGAATGATACTGCACTCTGCATGCTCTGCAGCAATACAATGTAATACATTGTAAGGCCTTGCAAAGTGACCAATCAAAATAAACTTAGTCAATTTGTTTCGTCATTGAATTCCAAAAATGATTGGAAATCCACACTATTTCTATATATTTCGTCCCCAGGAAAAAGTTTTTAAAGAAACAGACTTGATGGAACTGTTTTAATCCACATTTTCTTAAATTTTTGTTCTCCTTGATAGGAATCAAAATTAACTATCAGTAATTGTGTCAAAAGACTTTTCGACAAACTTACGTATTGATGATTTTTCATCAACCGACAAGTGTTGGTATGCGCAAAACATCCAGATGAAAAGAAGGCTTGTCTTTGACTGATATGTGATTTTTTTTTTTACTTGTTTATCTTGATAAGAATTTAACTGCACTTATATTGCACTGGACTAGAATGCAATGTCAATCAAAAGAAATTAAGTCCAATTCAATTAAAATATGATTGAAAAAATCAACATATTTTAATTTCCTGATCTGAAAGGAAAAAAACTCTTTTACTAAAAAAGACTGGACAGGGATTTCTTTTTGATTCACAATTCTTAACTTTATGTTTTCTTTAATATAAATCAAAATTGACCATCAAAAATTATATCGAAGGACTTTTCGGTAACGTTATGTATTTCTATTTTTTCATCGAACAACTAGTTTGGGGATGCGAAAACCTCCAGAAGAAATGAAGTCGGTCAAATGACTAGTTTAGGTATTAAGATTGAATTCTCTTGTTTGACTGATGAGTAGAAATTTTGAGAATGGTGT